TTGCCGACGAAGATTATGGGTCTTCTTCGAAATCACTTTATGATTTGCTACCTTCAACGTCACTCTCAGAATTGTCGGTACAGGATTCTGTATCGGAGGCATTGATTAGCTGCAATATGTCAGAATATCCCAAACGACACGGACCACATGTTACGAACGAAATTTGAAATTACTCTCGACTGAACACGTCCAGCCACTAAGCTATTACGCTGTGTTAGTACGGCAACGACAACGCATGCATAAAGAATGCTAGCATGGAACTGTAGAAGAACAGTATACGTATTGTTCAGGAGAGATCTATAAACAACACGTGAGTTTATATCTCTCTTCCACTGACCACATTCAAGTTGACGCTCGTCACATAGACTGCGATAACGTCTCTAGACTCAACATCCGGTGTTACCGTGACATGCACAAGTGTCGTCATCAGCAACTTCCATTCAGGGGTGTCCAGAACGTATGAATTCTTGCTCAGAAACAAGAAATTGCGAAAATTCTCCTTTGGTGTCAGTGCAAAAATTTTAACATGTTTTATACAATCTGTAAATTACAATATCTGATTCTATATTCTTTCGAGAAAAAAACAGCGTTTATTTCGTTCGATTATCACAGAAATAGCAGAAATAGGAGCAAAATTAGTGACTACAATTTTCACGAATCTCAAATAGCGGCCATTTAAAGAACTCCGTACCGTTGCCACAACCTAAGTTTAAAGGGCCGTAGGATAAAGGTTAATAAGCTCAGGCAAGAGACATGGTACAAATTGTTTTAAAAAATATGTCACACCAATGTCAAAAACTTTAAATTTAGTCTCTAAAATATTTTCATACATGGTGAAATTCTGTGTGTCTTTGGGAAGCAATGAATTCGAAGAGAACTGACAAAAATCTTAAACAGAGGAAATTTAACACTAACATTACTGACTTATGATTACTGAAACTGAATGTTAAATGAGGCAAAACATTAAATGTGAATTGCGTTTTATTTTGTTCATGGTCAGACCAGACTCTTTCCTGCTTTAGACAGACACCTTACTTCTCAATATATTCCACAAAGAACAATTCAGGGGGGAGGGGGTGATATGAATATCAAATAGTAAATATTCAAGAAGACTGTTCTGTGCTACAACAATATTCTTTTTGTATTTCCACTTTACATTCTTAGAACTAGAGAATTTTTAGAACAGTTATATTTTAAGAAAATCTGACTTGATGGTTGAGAAATAGTGAAACGACTGAAGAGCCTTCAGGCTCTGCTAAAATATAAAATCCCATGGCTAAACAGGTCTCCATACTGAACACCCTATGCAATATGAGTTCTGTGAGGAGGCAGATAAGAAACAATGTGCAGAGAGACAACACAAAGGGGATAGTGCTTCGCGAGATTTAGTGCTGTTCAGATTGCATCATTACATATATAGTGGCAGTACTGGAAACATTAGCTGCGAAACATCCGCATTTTCTTTCTGCACATTGTGCTGTCATCTGCCTTTCAGGAACACATGACCATATGGTCAATAGTTGAAAGGTGAACACGATTAACCCTTTAAAGCCCAGTGGTCACTATATGTATCACCTGCGTTAACACATTAAAACTCTGCATTCTGCCCATGTATTTGTGTGCTTCATATCGATCTCACCTCCTGAGAGGTACAAACTGAATTTTTTATATATTATTTAAGAGAAATTCAGTTTCTAAAGAGATAATGGAACAGTATACTAACATTGACTGACAGCAACCTTCAGCTTCAAGAGCTTGCAACTGTTCCTTCAGAGCTTCTGGAATCTGCGGGTTTGACCTTGAAGGGGCATCTTTTGTTCTGCCATTAGCCACCCAGTTGGAGCACAGGGTGTGATGCAACTCCTGCACATCTGAATCATGCTCTTCTTGTGCACTGCCACTACAGTGTGCACCAACCATTGCAGAGAGTTGCTGTGCTTCGAGCCTATATGGTACTACAACTAGATTGTGTGCTGTTGCTATCAAGAGATTGGTACCAGCGCACCATAGCCGAGGTGGTGATGCAAATAACTTGAAATGGTGTCGGGACTGTACCACACCAAACTGTACATTATAAATGGTAAGAGATGCTCCTGAAATAATAAAAGTTACAGCAATAATATGTATGTTATTATTAATGTAGGACATTTTAATTACACATATGAAAACTTTGTTGCAGGTAACAGCTGAAAGTTATGGCATCCGCTCCTTGAAATGAACACAAACTTGAACAGAAATTTGTTTAGACTCTTCTTACAATACAATGATAATGGAGCAGGTACTTGAGGTTGGTAACAATGTTCCCAAGAAATGCAATTAGGTCAGTTTCTGTGGTTGTCGGCCATCTCAAGATGACATGGATTTCCAATGTTCTGGAAACTCTCTCACATTTGACTCATTCATCACACCTTCCCCATACACTGCAATAAGTTGATGGTATATTCCAATTGGACGGACATTTTGTGTATTCAGAAACCAAATTACAGCTTGCACTTCACAATTGGTGGGATTGTCGACATTCTTAAGCATTTTTAAATACTAAAAAAACACACAAAAAATAGAATCAGCGAGTCATTCACTTGGCATGTTACTAAAATACTACTGAGGCCTGTTAACCTTGAAATGGTGCATTTTGTTGACTTGCACAAGTGCTACGTGCAAATGGTCCTTACTTTCTGGATGACCCTTGTGTATAGGCTCCAGGAAACTCGTGCTTCATTACATCAGAGCTCCCAGTCAATGGCAACGTGTCAGAACAGCACAGCCAAATCAATGTCATATGACTGTCAGAGAGCCTTTGACGTCTGGGACCAAAATGGGGCACTCCATGGGTGTAAATAATTTTAGGTCCAGGCTGCACACCTGAACCTACACACAGAGGTAGTGAGAAGGGTTCACTAAAAAATTATATCATGGGCCCCCCTTAGGGACACACAAATCAGAAGTGATACAGGAACCATGAGACAGAATCACAGCAATGTGAAATGTACCTGCTGGTCAGACTGGAGCTTATAACTGTAGTGAGCTTAGATGCTAATAAGTAACTAATCATAGAAAACTGCTGTGGTAGACACAGAGATACAGAGAAACCAGTATGAGGATGAGATGATAAATATGAGGATGATGTGGCAGACATTCAGTATGAAAAAAGGGCCAGTGAGAAAGAAGAAAGAGATGAATACAGAATGGAACAGATGATGCAAGAAAATGGCAGATGGCAAAATTGAAAGAAAGACAATTCGAGAGCACCCAGTGTATACCCCATTACAATGAGGACCAACCTATCTTATTGGGTACTCATTATGAAAGCTTTATGTGCTGTATACTTCAACAGGAACATTCATAAATCCTTCAGAGAAACTAAAAGGTTTTAACATAATCTACAAGGACCTCTAAATGAACAAGCAGAGATATGTGAAAATCAGAAGTTATAAACAATGGCAATAAATCAGCTCTCAAAAAATATTTTGTGTTATGCAGGAAACCTGAATGTCGGTAAGAGACACCTAGAACATGCATACAAGTCTGATAACAGTGCCTAACTTGAAGACTACTGCCATCTGAGATGCAACAACATGTAGTCTGAAGGGATATGCCACCTCCATCTTCACAGTAGATGTATTACTACCCTGAAGATGGTGCTAGCAGGTTCTTCTGAACCACTGGTAAACATCTACCAGACTGCAAGACATCTAATCCCAGGAGACCATGTTTTTCAAAGTCACTGCTATGAGAACACAAAATCTCACAAATTCTAATGTGATTCTAAGAAAGAAATTGATGAAGAAAGCAGTCTTATGGGATTTGGCACCGTGTATATGTGGTGTTAACCGACATTCCTCCGAAATGTTGGTTAACACCACATATACACGGTGCCAAATCCCAGAAGACTGCTTTCTTCATAGTCACCGCCGTGAAAGCCTCAAATCTTACAAAGAAAATTGATGTTTAAACACACTGGTTAATGAATTATATCCTAGCTTACTTTGATAAGCTGAAACAATTTCAGCTTTTGCTCACCAGCTTCTGTCACTCATGTCAGACACAGAAACATTTCATTCGACGCATTCTCACCTTCTTCACTGGGGTCAGCACCATATATTGCCATGTGACTGGAGCTCAGAGGAACCAGTGCAACAGGATGCTTTGTGCTAACAGCTCTAACTATGCTCACAAGAGTGCCAGGTAGCTCCGGGCTGGGCTGAGGGTGAAATGGCAATGAGCACAACCTCCCATCGGACCCTGGAAACAGTACATGAGTGTTCAGCTATCCTGTATCCAAGTTGGGGAAGACAGGTATGTTGATCGATGCTGGCTCAAATTTCTTTGTTCAGACCGTGAAGACTGACGAAAGATGGGGAACATTGCAGGATGGGAAATAAATGAATACTGACATTTCTATTAGTAGCCTGAATGCCCATAATACTGAAATATGGAACTGCTTGATTCACCTTCTCAGGACTTAATTGAAAATTCTCGTTTTACACATCAGGCCAGCAACAAATTTCAATAAAAAGATAAAAATAAAAAATTGGCATTGTCTGCAACTATGTACTTCCATGGGAACACAACAGTCTCAATGGGATTACTACATGCATACTATCTGCCAGTATTCAATAGAAAACCGCTTTTATCCAAAACAGAAATTCTTACAGTAAACACTAATTTGTTTATTGACTTACACCTACATACAGGGCAACATAAACACAGAATAAATGCACACGTAGACATCCATGCCTCAAGTGGGATTTGAACCCACGATCCCAGCGTTCAACCAAGCAAAGACTGTTCATGCCTTAGACAGTGCGACCAGTGTGATTGCCTTAGAAGATAATTACCATATATAATACCTGGACCTTATACATTTAAAGCACAGTGGTTACTATATACACCACTGGTATTAACATTTAAAAATACAGTTTGGGTTTCATATGATTCTCAGAATAAATAAAGTTATCCACTTGGTTTCTGTAATGCAGATACAGTGTGCATGGTGCGATGCAGTGGTTCAGAAAATAAGTCATATTTACTGCGTTTTTTAAGATGAATGTCCGAGACAAAACTGGCTTGTTAAGAATTAACCCATTTATTTATATTTGAAGTTCTGAAATGACCAGTTTATACATACACACATAATTTATGTTTTTTAGAATAAGTTTCATTATTTTTACATACTGTACGTTGACTGGTGGGGACGTGTCTGTGAGTGCTACGGTTGCCCACTGTTCTGACACAAGAGAACTATAACAGAAGTAACCATGGCCCTTCTGTAGAATGGTTCTCCTGTTCTAAGACAGAAAACCTTCAATTGTGATTCCCTGCTAGGTTTGTTGTGACAGGACGCAAATGACTAACTCATTCTATTTCAAAATCTCCAATGTACAACTCGAGTTTCTTGTCTCTTCTGATACCATAAGAACCATTACATCGTCACATAGGAGTTTCAAAAGATAGCACTTTAACACAGATGAGATCGGACTGCTTGACAGCAACTCAAAAGAGACTCTGACAAAACATCCAAGAAAGAGGAGGAGGAAGATATTACAGAACAAATTCCAGTTCCACCCCACGGAGGAGTATACAAGCGAAATCTTTAATGAACCAGTTTACTGGGGGTGTCCATGATGGCACTTCTGATCATGATGTGATTCAAATCCTGCCCATATCCCAAGGTATATCAAAAATGGGACAAGTGACATGTCAGACAAACAATAAAATCCATACATTCATGACTGGCAGGAGACAAAATGTGGCAACCTACATAAATAAAAAAAAAAAAAAAAAAAACTGAACTATATACAGTATTTTCATGTTGTACTTTGTGGCTGTTATCACTTCGTTGGTGGAGGAGACCAATCGATATTACCAGCAATTCCTGGGCTTCCTTGACAACGAACCTTCTCCCACACATGTCATCAGTGAATCTGAATTGTTCTGTTCTGGCAATTATTATTCAGAAGGGACAGCACATACATGACAATCTGAAAGACTACTGGTCTTCTACTGAGCAGCTCTTTTCGTCATTTTATGGCAAAACAGTGAAATGGGACAGATCCTTCACATTCTTAGAGATCTCCACTCTCTGAACAATGACAATGTTTTTGACAGTAACGACCCAGACAAATAAGACAAAATTCTTATATGCTAAGCAACACATATTCAAAATATTACGCACTTTCTTAACATCTTGCTGTGGACAAAGTCATAGTACTTTCAAGGGGTGGGTAAGTTTCAAACAGTATACAGCCAAGAAACACAAACGTTTGGGAATAAAAATTTATAAATTATGTGACATGCCTGGCTACACACAAGATATGGACAAAGGGGACAATAGCAGACAATTACATGACACAACGCTGGATATGCAAGTGGACAAAGAAATTATTTTGTCACTTACTGGACCTGACAATTCTGAACAGTTTCCTCCTCCTTACTTCATGTGGCACTATAATGAATCAGACAATTCAGACTTGTCCCTGTGCAGAATCTGACTGAAAAGGCCAGAAGTTTATGTTGCCCATATCGACCCATTGGCAGACCAATAGTTTTGGAGATACAAGCTACTAGGCTTACCTCAGTAAACATTAGAACATTTTATCCTCCTGACTGTACTGCCGTGCTTGTTCCGCATAAGCAGTCAGGAGGAGAGTACAAGTGTAAGGATTGTGATGTGGGACTTTGTATTGTAAGTGTTCTGAAACCTACCACACCAAATCCATGGTGCAACAAATCCAGTCACCAATCCAAACCCCGTCTATTCTTGCATGCCACAAGCTTGACAATATAAAGGTGTTGGGACTCTTATGACATCCTCTCCAAAGAGGCATGTGAACGAAAATACTTATTTTACATGTTTACTGCACAGCAATCCAAAGCAAAACCAAGGAGACCAGCTTATGATCAACCTGGCAAGAGCAAGTATAATTTAAAGACAACAACATGGTTGTCCAATCTTGTAAAAGTTAATATTCTTTAGACAAATTTCAGGCTTTAGGCACTAGGATCAGTCCCACAAATCACAAATCTGTATATACACCATGTTGTTATTACTCGTACTAGCTGCAGGAACCAATGGCATAATGCACCAAACTTCATAAAATTCTGTGTACTGGCTGAAAAGTCAAAAGAGGGGAATGCATGTGGTCTCTCTCTCTCTCACACACAAACAGTACGGTGATCTCATAAGTGTGCTTCTTGCCTTAAGGAAAAGTAGGCTAGAATGTGTTCTTTAATACAACTTACATAATGTAAGAAAATTACATGAAGAGTCCTGTTTCATCACAGTCTGTCCCATTAAGCGGAAATTTTTCCATTCCACTTTCAATTTCATACTTTGAATATCCCCTGAAACTGGAACCACACAGAAGTGTGGAACATCCTGAAAGTAAAATGTGCATTTCTGATGTCAAGTCTGTGGTTTGTTACTTAATGGTACTTTATTAACTGGTAAGGTCATTTTAGCTGATTAGTGCTATAAATAATAGAAATGTGGTGATGAAACACACACTCACAGGAAAGAAAACTAAATGTTCAAGCACAGCTGTTACAAAAAAATCCACAGCAAACCAAGCCTTAAGCCCTTTACCCCAAGCACTTCAAGTTCTTTGCAGCACAACTTTCAGAAACTGGACCTATTTCTGTCATTAGGTGTATGGGAGGTAAGGTTCCAACTCGTCTGGGTCTGTTACAATGAGCTAGTATTGAACTTTTGAGCAATGGTCTGAAATTTAGTGTCTGAAAAACTAAGAAGACAACGGACAACATTTATTATGAAGCTCATTATCACTCACTTTTTTTTTAACAAAACGCATTAGCCTATCTTTGTTAACCCAAAATATTCTCCTTTGCACTTAGTTTTGAAATACCCTCAGTTTGGGATCCTCCTTCAGGCAGCAAACATGTACAACACAAATCATAATAAGAGTTTCATATATTTTAACCTTTTCACTTTCTCAAAAGAATAGGACATAAATCACTCTAAACTGAATAACAGCATGTATTTCCTGAGATCATCATTCTCTGGGGGGTGGGGGTAAATTTATCCCTATGCTTAATTAAGCACCATGCCATAAAAATGGGTGAGTGGAGGTTAGCTCCATTAATTCTTAAATATTTCACTAGGTGAAGGTGAGTTATCAGCCACACATCCCAGCTGTTTTACTCCAAGGGTAAAAACCAGTACCTGCTGGATAAAAGGCTACACTGACTCAAAGCCAATCTAAATGCATTAGAGACAAGGATAATTTCTGCACCTGCTAGTACTTGAACCTGTTGGCCAGCCTGTAGCCAAGCTACTACACTGACTGCGATACCATGTCTTAATTTCATCATTCCTTTCATTTTTGCATGCTGCATCATTTTTACACACATTTAAAATTTGCTACATTAAAAAAAAAAAGCAAGTTTAATTTTATAACTTGATTAAAGATTTTTATCACAAAACGTGTATATAGTTGTCTTATGTGTACTTCCAGACCAGTGGCTTCTCTGCACATTTCTCAATGTCTCTATTGGCTTTTAAAGGTTACATTCATTAAAGTATAAAACAATTAGCCTAACTGAATAAATTAATTTATTTAAAAACAGAAATATGTATTTAAAAGTTACTATTATCTTTTTTTATTGCTAGTGGGGTGGGACTAAGTCCCTTGTACTGCGGCCACTTCTGGCCTATTGTAGCAGCCCCAGATGATATGTGAGGGTGACTGTGGAGCAATTGGTGGAATGAAGATTGGCAGGGGAAACCGAAGTACTCGGAGAAAACCTGCCCCAGCGCCACTTTGTCCACCACAAATCCCACTTGACCAGACCCGGGATCAAGCCTGGGCTGCCGTGGTGGGAAGCCAGCGACTAACCGCTTGAGCTATGGCACAGCCATAAAAGTTACTAACTATAAGCTACACACATAAAACATGACTAATATATTATATCACTAAAGTATTTTGTGTGCTAACTTGATCATAAAACATACTGAGGAGTTGCGACAGAAAAGAGTTATGAATGTAAAGTTTTCATATTCCACTAGACGGTAATCTTCTATAACTTCATTAGCATCCAGTAATGAACTGTCAATTTCCTTCTTCCGGCTCTCCACTGCAGTTCTTAGGGGACAGACTGCTCCATTACTGAACAGTATTAATGGTTCATTTCCCTCTGTCTGTGGTATAACACAATGAATTTGTTGGTGGAACTGCAATAAATAAACAATAACATGTAATACAAAATCTTGTGAAGTTAGAGTGGGTCCAATCACTGTATGAACATTGATACATTCCAATAGGTACAGGTGGTAAGACATTAATTACATGTTACAATTCTATTCACTTAATACACAATTTGTACAAATGTTCTGGTAATCATAATTAACTCAACGAAACAGAGCTGTTGAGGAGCTGACAGTCATTCATTCATTCATTCATTCATTCATTTATTTCAAATTCAGTAAATCCAAAACATAGGTTGAAATACAACCCTGGATATAGAACATGTCAATAATAATATTAAAATAAGTTCCAAACATTGAAACAGTCAAGATAAACAATAAAAACGATATAAAATAGTACACAGTGTAATAATAATTTCATTAAATACAAACAGATTAAAACAAAGAATTTAAATTATCAGTAACATGAATCTTCTATATACAATTCCACCCAAAATATATTAAGTACAAAAGATTATTATGCGCTTTAGTTTCAAGATAAATATAAGCAATAAATATAACGCCTCACATACCAGTTAAATATCATATATACCTGTCACAGTCATACAATATTCTGAAATTCATTCATTCAGTCATTCAGCTAATCATGCTCCTTTTTACATGTGACATGTATTTGTTTATTTATGAGGGATTTAACCATGCTGTCAGCAGCCCATCCTACCCAGCATCAAATGGTATGATCATCACTGAATGATGAACTCGAATGAATGTGATGGAAACAGTCATGGCTTGATTTTAGGTATTACCCCATCACTTGCCTTGAGGGATGATGGAAAGCATAAAAATCTCCAGTCTGGATTCTGGCCAAAATTTGAACCAAGCATCTCCCAAATACGAATTAGAAGTGTTACCGTTTGAACTAATTTCTTCAGTATGTGTCCTTTGTACAGATACACATCATTTCTGGTCTTCTTCAACGTGCAAGTGAGACAGGAAGCGAACACAGGAGTTAACCATTATTGTTGCATTCAAAACTACAGCCAAGGCAGTGTTAAAGATGACACATGCAATGTGATCATGTAAGAGACAGCCTTTAGGTGGGACAGACAGACATTTCCTGCGCCAGCTAGTCATGCAGATAAAAGCTGGTAGATAAGTGAATTATGGTCTATGTGTGTGTATCTGCAGACAAAAGCTAGTTCAGTCTAAAGGGTTCTGACAATGGTGTATTACATTTGGGATTGCTGGACCTGTCAGTTGACTAGTGTCCTAAAAATAACATTCAGAATTACTTGGTTTTTAGACTTTGTCTAACTTCCAGTATTCTAAAAACCAGAGAACACAGTGTTTCAGAAATTGGATCTGTTTCTGCCCTCAGGTGAGGGGGGAGATACTTACACTGTTGGGTACCTTACACTGGATGATGGACAAAGCCCAAAAACCAAGTAATTCTAAGTGTTATACACAATCATCAGAACCCTTCAGAATCTAGATCAAGAGATATTTTGGAAACTGGACCTTTTTTTGTTCACAGGTGAATTGGGGGGGGAGGGCATACTCAACTGTGTTTGTTAACTGGAGACTAGATCCAGTGATTGACTCAAGTGAGTATGTGCCTCCTCACCCTGTCGCTTGTAGATGGAAACATATCTGGTTTCTAAAACCCTGTGTTTTTTAGGATTAACAGATGATGGGCAAAGTACAGAAACTTAGTAATCCCAATACCCACTTACATAACCAGTTAACAAGGCACAGACCAGAGTTATAACACTCAAAATATATCACAAACTTTGTTCTCAAAGTGAACACTTAACTCATATTAGTTTTCAATTAATCTGCATATCTTTAAAGACTATTACTTGTAATGTACAAAGTCTGGGTCTCTTTTACCATGAACATGAGGGGGCAGGTTCCTCTCTTACAATGGATTTACTTACCAAACAACATGATACCACATGCCAGAACACAGCAATCTGGATATTCACTGCTGCAAGAACCTCTAATCTCATTCATTAACCTACTCTCAACTAAGTTATGCACAAAGATTATTTAATTACCAAATTTACATTTTTATTACCTTGAATATATTTACATAGTAAGCCTGCAGGTAACAAAAAATTTCATTTCATTGACATTTCACTATTTTCAGAGGAGGTTTTCTCTAAAATTTCCAAGGCCCATGGCTACTGTATAATATTAAGGGATTCTTACCTTAATTTTCTTTATCTTGTCCAAATTTTCTTCATTTTCCGTCCACAGCCTTAACTGGCTTCGATTGAACACTGCAACATACTGACTTCCAACTGCATCATATATTACTGGAGATGAAAGTTTTTCCCTACTACTCCAGCTGCTAATTTGTTTCTGATGCAACAACTGCAATGTCAATAAGAAAGTACTGTAACATGATATTGAAAAAAAAAGTGTAATGGTAGTTATGGTATTGCCTGGGCAACGCCATAGCTCAAGCAGTTAGTCGGTGACTTCCCACCGCGGCGGCCCGGGTTCGATCCCGTGTCTAGTCAAGTAGGATTTGTGGTGGACAAAGTGGCGCTGGGGAAGGTTTTCTCAGAGTACTTCGGTTTCCCCTGCCAATCTTCATTCTACCAATTGCTCCACAATCACCCTCACCTATCATCTTGGGCTGGTACAATAGGCCAGAAGTGGCCGCAGTACAAGTGACTTAGTCACATCCCACTAGCAATAAAAAAAAATAATATGGCATAGCCCCAAAATTTATACAGGGACACTCCCTTCTCTATATTTTGCAACAGATATTCTGTAGAAATCTAAGAGGTTGAAAGTTCCACTACTGGACGTTTTAATTGCATATAATACGCCAAACACAAAACATTCTAATTTTCTTTTACGTAGGGCATGTCTAAATAAAAGAATCCATCGTTACCAGGGCAAGTTACCACAGAAACTTCCATCATGTTTTTCTTTAGTTTTATTATTTTGTTCCGTGTTGGAAGGTCCACGAAATATCTAATGCTTTCCTATGAGTTTATTTTGGATTTTATTCCAGTAAATATGCATCTCCCTTTCATTTCCGTTATTTAAAATACGTAACTACAATTGTAAACCTAACCTTGTATCGGATAACTATATTCTTTCCCAGAGTTACAATAACACAGCCACTTGTTGAATCTTCGGCTACGCCTAATAAACTTCTCTGGTCAATTAATGGGCATAAACTATAATATGCACACAGCCTTGCCATTGCTAAGGAAGCAACTTCTCTGTAACTAAAACCATCAATTACAAATACACACACGTTCGCCGTTCGCCGAACAATCACTTCACGGATCTCGGACAAATTTTTTTCCTCCCAACACACCATGGATCGGCATCGTAGGTCTCAGCCCGGTCGCACATCTAGGAATCTGGAAACTGCAACGCAACCGCGATTAATCAGGAAAATCGCCGATTTCAAATAATCTCACATCCAGACAGAATATTTGGCCAATATGCACGTTTGCTGGTGTACTGAGTTATGTAGATTGTTCCTCACGGCTTAAAGAACAAAATAAAATTAAATTGGACGAGCATTGTATTACTAAAGATATGAATGCTGTTTCATATTTATGATATGTTATGCAAGCCGAAGGACATTATTTATTTGTATTACTTCTGGTGTATTCAGAAATCTGCGATACCTCACGTTCATGTTTACGTATTATACGTTTGTACACCTGTAAGTGGAAAACGAAACGTCAGGAAACCAACAGCACAGATTATTGTACTGGAGAGTGGTATTTAATATATTGGGTATTGTGAATTTGTCGTGCTGAGTGTGGAGTCATTTGAAGTTTTATATGTTTTGAATTAACATCAGAAATGGTATCTGTTATGCACCCGTTCATGGTAACTATAATTGTAACTGGCAGATTGGTCAGCAGAAATACGAAGCAGTTCTAGATGCAATTACTCTTAGGTTATGGGGTTGCTGAAGTATTAGTGAAGTGTGCTGTAACAGTATTTATTTCAGCTATTTGACAGCAGTGTTGCATTTCGTAGCTAGATTTCATATTATTATATCATATTATATTATTATTTTATTATTCTTATTTATTGTTTTAAAGTATTTGACTTGTGCTATATCATGTATAATCCATGGCTATGAAGTAAATAAATAAATATAAACCCACACCAATATAACCCTGTTTCCATATCGTGTACCCGAATTTGTATGAGATTTTTGGGAAAGTAACCTTGAACCTCAAATGTCAAAGTGATGTGAAATATCTTTCAGCCTCAATTTAAAGTAATTTTGTTTGCCACTATTTTATTCTTGTTGAATACAAAATTAAATAACGAGTAATTTAAAAAATTTGTGTTAGTAATAAGATTTTGATGACAAGGTAATGATTAGGATATGAATATGAGATATTTTAATTCAGCTGTTTGTAGAGCAGATACAGTATTTGGAATGTTTCTTGGCAGAAAGTTCATTGTGATTGTGTGCTGCAAATGTTGCAGGATGTGGAGTGTTCACGTTCATATATCGATGAACTCTATTCCCCAGAAGTAGACAAGTGTTTGGAAGCAATTGTGTAAGTTGAACAGCATCATTATCTGTTACTTCTGCAAGACCTGTAATCAGTGGTGAGGGGGAAAAATTGTGAAATGAAGGTGCCTGACAGAAATGTATATAATCAAGTGTAGATTTATTTTTTTGTTTCCAGCAAAAGTTGTTAGTAATAAGTGTTCATCAGTGTTAGCACTTAAATTCTTCAATGTGGGACCAGTGTAATATATTTCTGTTGAAAAATGAGTATGTTATCTTTAATAAAAATAGTATATTCCTTTTGTAATAACTACTGGTTCCAGTCGTGATATTTTATTGACATGCATCTATGCTGAGCATATTCTTCCATATACAACACTAATGGAAAGTCAACAATTCAGGTTTGTACTTTAACAGGCTTGAGTCAGCTTGCCATAATGTGGCATTTCCATTTGTCCAAAAATTTTGTGGAGATTCCCTGTATTTCCTGCCACAATCTAATGGGTGGATGTTTCTGACGTGTATATTCTAGGTGCTTGAAGAATTCTGTTATTGGCAGCAATCGTCAGAAAGGTCATGTGATCACCCAAGGTGTAGTACCAAGGTTACTCCAGCTTGTTGGGGACAACATGATGCCAATTCAGCTCAAGGCGGAAGCAACAGTTACACTTGGTTCTCTAGCTAAGGGAACAGAGGATCACATTAAAGCGTTGGTAGATATGGGTGTTGTACCAGTGCTAATAGCTGGTAAGTTTTGCATAAAACTCTCTCTCTCTCTCTCTCTGTATCTGCGTACACCCACACGTGAAAACCATGACACCAAGACGTGAGAGTGGAAGTATAGCTTTATCACAAATGATAAGACAATTCCATCCAGTGTGACTGTTGAAGCTTTTACTACTTCACTTCTTAGCACCCTAACATGTTGTTTTTACAACACAGCACACTACGAACAAATATAGGACGAGAACAACTGACTTGCACTCAAACTCACCCAACTCAGTCCACTATCAACTCTAACTCCCAAGCTGTTCCAGGATTCTCTTATATGCCCCTGACACAGGCTGCATAGAAAACCCTGCTTCCAACAGTTCCTCCATTGCTGTGTGCATATGTTGCCTAGTGATGACTCTGGTGATGTTACGTCTTTACACAGTCATTGCCCAACCATGGATGTGTTTGCAGAGCCATCCCCTAGCAACGGCTGATTCTCGGGCTCCAAAATTCGTGCTTTGAACAAATATGCCACAGTGCAGTGCAGAAGTCTGTGTGTCTAACAGGGTTCGACAGTGGATCAGAACTGAAATTTAAGCTAGCTCACATTCAGGAGAACTGAACCCTTTCCAGTTGGCAAGTTCACTGGGTGCGCTGTTGGTATTCTCCCTAAACCAGTCTTATGGTGCACTCAGTATGCCATGATTTTTTCAAGGTTGCTACAGCCTACAGCGATGAAATTGACAGAGTCAGAGTGGTTGGACTTGGCATTAGTACCTTTGTGTATCGGCTAGAGGGCGGAACTATTCAGGTTGTTCAGATCCTCAGGAAAGCATTTCTTCTTAAATGGACCATAAAGGGTTAAGTGTTTTTTTTTAAAAAGAGAGATGATAAATGAGACCATTTCAACCGTTTTGTTCTCATTTTATATGTATACCATGACAGGTTTGGGCAGTGATGAAGTGAAGTTGATTGAAGCATGTCTGAGATGTTTGAGGACCATCTTTGAGTTCTCATGTGCACCTGTGGGGCTAATTTGTCAGGATGAGAATCTACCGTTACGGCTGCTGAGTCTCATCCCACATTCTGTATCCAACCAAGTGTGTGTAGCTACTATTCTTGCCGCAGGATGCAAGGTAAGTGGACACGGAGTTCTTGTAAACCATTCTGAGCATATTCATCCCGGCAAGTAGACCAGACTTTGAGCTCTGTGTAACTTGCAGTGGCATAAGCAGTCTTGAGGATTCTTCCATTCTCTTTAACAATCTTCATCCTGCCTTTTTTCTTCAGGGTCATTTATCCCAAAATTATATATACCAGATTTTTGCAAGTGTTCAGTAACCACCCAGATGATGATAATAAAAGCTTGGGACAGAAATACACAGAGTGTCTAGAAATTTGGACCTACAGACTCCATCATCCAATCCCTTGGCAAACACAGACAAAAATGTCCTGCTGATAAAATAGTTCAGTCAACACAAATTTTTGTGGAAATGCAATTAAAGTTGAATGCGATTTGGGGCTCTGTGGATATTTTCATTATGGGTTCCACCATGGGATTTTCTGATGAATATTGAGATGAAAATTTCCCTTGACAAAATTTCAACCTGTGCATAAATTTTAAAGAAAGTGTGCTTGAAGTTCCCTGTGCCATGTTGCTAACAATCCTGAGATTTGAAAGGTGACTGACAACCGAGTGTTCATAACTCAGCAGTCCCTTGTACCGTTAGCATCTGTAGTGTGTGTGTCAGCATCAAGAAGCTTATGGATTCCTTTGATTGTCAGTTCTTCTGTACCAAATACTCCATGGCCCATCTATCATTCCCTTCTACCTGAACAGTCTGCATTCTGTAGTCAGCTACCTGTCCACAGTTATCAGCCAGTCTTCATGTGGGTTGTTGAAACATAAACATTCATGTGCATTACTTTGGAAGTCTTTGACACATGTCTGCTTGAAGAGAGAATATACAAATCCTGGGGGAGGGGTAGTGGTTAAGAATTATATTATTAATTACTTATATTTGCATCTAAAGGTGAAGTTGTCCTTGTGCTTAGTTAATTAAGCCCCACACCATGAAGACATATGGGGAGAAATGGAGGTATAGCTCTGCATTTTTTTGACCTTTGCTCTAGATGGAAGTGAACTGTCATCTTCATGCCCTCCTCCCCCTGAGTAAATAGCCCCCCCCCCTCCACTACCTATCAGATAGGTGGCTGGGTGGTCCTCAGAGCCAGTCTGGTTGCTGTGGAGAAGAGAAAAATCTTTTGCCCCTGATGAGAATTGAACTTTGGCCATCTAAATCTTCTGTGTAATAGAAGGGATGCATGAATTTTGTGGATTATGTGGAGGCTGGAACTTTTCCTGTATGTGTGTGTCAACATCACTTTCAGGCACAATAGACCACTGTAGGTCGCGGTGCAAGAGCCAAGAAGGCCCACTCCTTATACATTCATTCAACATCACTTTTCTTTCAGACAGCAGAGAACCAGAACTTACTGTGCAGACAAGAGGCTGTTCCTGCTTTAGCTGCTCTACTGTGCTCTCCCCATTACAAAGTACAGATGCCAAGTCTGCGCTGCCTGGCTAACATGTGCTTCCAGAACCAGAAGGTGTCTGCAATTGTTGCAACTTCCAGGTGCAGGTTCTTTCTGCATTCTCATCCGTCGGTAGAACAGTCATGCATGTGCAGTGTTTTGAGTCAGTTCATAAATTGGGGATGCCAGTTGCTTTTGAAGATGAAGTAAAACATGCAGAGGAAAAACTGTCATGTCTCTATGGGAAATATATATTCTTATGGATGAAACTGAGGAGATAGTTGTGGCTGAGCAGATTGGCTCAAGCAGTGAAGCAGTAAGCAGATCTGGCAGTTCCGATCCATCTGATCCATGCTCCACACAGACAATGCCAAAAGACAAAATATGAGCTCAAATCTTCAAAACTGATTGAATACACATGCACCATATTCTCAACCCTGAAAAGGGAGGTAATCCAACTTTGAACATCAGGTATCATAGCACTGAGCTGAGCAACACATTTCAGTAATAACTTTATTCTAATTTAAATTTAAATTTTATTTTAAAAGTAATATCTTTTACAAAAATGACAGTGCAGATAACTGTGTGCCATCTTACGTAGCCGAGCATACAGTGCATGTAACCACTTGATGCAGAAGACGTGTTGTGAATAAACTTGATGTCCAGTGCATGAGAGTGATTTCATGATCGATTAATAAGTAATTACAGATCTGAATGGCATTGGTGTGTTGCATACAGATGTTTAAATACAGCCAGTTGAGAATTTGACATTTTATGATTTATTTTGCTATTGTAAATTTTGGAATTTCCAAGTGAATCTTCAGCTCATAACACCACCTCCAGGATCTATCTGTTGTAGTTCCTATCCACTGACAGATGTCTCAGCTGTGACTCTGAGTCCTGTCTCTTCTTTGTTCTTTTCAGGGTTTCTTCCCATATAGGTGTTTCTTTTGTTTGACAAAGCTGTATGACCCCTTGTTTAATGATGTAATGAAAGCATGCTCTCTTTCCATCTATTATATTTGTATATTGTGGAACCTCTATTTATAGTTCTTTGATTTTCCTTGAAACCAGAACATTACAACTGTCGGTATTCATGAAACTAAAGAATATAAATTACATTGTGTTTATTTTACTAAGTTAGGTCTGTTTCTTGTAGCTTTGGAGGAAAGTCTGTGCCAGACTTACTGGTGGGACTGATGGCAAGAGACAAGCCTAGCGAGATGCAGATGGGAGCAGCGAGGTGTATCACCTATATGCACCGAGCTGGTGCTGTAAGCGCTGAGGATCCAAAGATTTTGTATCGGACACTTCCTTGCTTGGTGAGGGGTTCTGGATGACTTCATTGCATGATGAATCTGAGGCAAACATGATTTTAACCTTGGAGTAAGAACGTCCAATAAGACTAATCCCTGCAGATGACGGTGATTTAACTAAATATTCCTGATATTAAGGAAAGTTTAAAATACAAGTTGTATATGTTAGTGAGGTAATTAGATACTTTACATCATGTACCAATTTTTATATGATGGGATATTTTGAGAAAATTGTTTGATTTGAACATCCTGTAAAATGGGCTTTATATTGTATTGGTACAAACAGAAATCAAAACTGCTGCTGGCTTTTAGTGAAGGCATCCATTGCCAAATTTCTTGAAAATGTGCTTTTTAATTTTGAAGGAGAGAGTGGATGTAAGCAGACAGATACACGTTCACTTCATGCACGCTGCACTGAGGACACATAACAAATTTGTCTCATAGGTCCGTCTGTGTAAGAAAGATCGGCCTTGCGAAGAACGGGTAACTGCAGCAGAGACGTTAGCATATCTGACAGAAGTTGACACAGAACTGCAGCGTCTTGCTTCCATTTCAAATCATCTAGTCCCTACTCTTGCTGAGCTGCTTCACTACCAACCCGAGCCATCACACACGCAGGCTGTGCAACTGACCCCCAGTCAGACGGCACAGCGACTGGAGCAAGAGGTGAAGACTGCCCAGGACATGAAGCAAGCAGCTTTCAGAGTAAGTGCTCTTGGCTTGTGACTCCATACACTGTCTTCTAAAGGAAAGAAGGGGATGCATTTACGAAGGATGATGTTTGTATTTTGTGAGCTGAAAACATTGACATAGTTTTTGGATGGCTTGCCATTGCTCTTGGTACACTGGATTTCACTGTGTCCCTAAGTGAACAGTGTATTGGTCAGTCAGTTCTACCAGTTAATAGCAGTCTTGTAGGTGTGGATATTGTCACGTTAGTGACTAGACACAGGATTTGGATTGGCAATTGACTTTGTCAGATGCTTATGCCTCATAACTACAAATGATTGTAACAGTCCTACTAATTTACATGCCCTATAAAGCACTACAGGAGCTGGGGTAGCGTAGTTGGTATAGTGACTGGCTACGGGCTGGACGACTGAGGGGTCGGAGTTTGAGTCCTGGTAGGGTAAAGATTTTCTCTTCTCCAAATCATCCAGACTGGCTGTGGGGTCCACCAAACCTCCTATCCAATGGGTACTGGGGGCTTTTTCCCTAGGGGCGTGATGCTGACCACTCACCTCCAGCTAGTGCCAGTGTCAAGAAAATGTGGATCCATACATCCATACATGCTTATCTTGTTGAGCACAGGGACAACTTTATCTTTATAAAGCACTACAACTACAGCGCATGCAGTGTTCTGTTTGTTATTGTCATCACAAGCCATTGCCAGGTAGCAGCTGCTAACAGTGGAGATTCCTCATGGGCAGCAACAAATTGCCACTGCTTGCTTGCAGCTCACAACTGTTAACTGCTGGCTCTGGTGTCCAGCTGACTAACTTTCGCCATTGGTCCTCACTATATAGCCTCACCACGGACCACTCAGAAAACACTGCTTCCAGCAGTTCCTCTATTGTTGTATGTTAATTCATTGCTGTGGAAATGTGTTTACCATGCTGTTGCCTAGCAATGGCTGCCTTGTCTTGTTCCACTATTCCCACTTCCAGCCATCACATCACAATATCAGCATTTTGGTGGAACATGTCCCCATCTTCAGAGTTGTGTGTGGGAGTCTGTTGGGTTATGGTAGGCATACTGGAAGGAAAGCTGTCAGTCAGATCCGTGAGAGGGGGCGAGAGAAGGCACAGCTGAGTGCTGGCCTGTGGATCTGGACAACTTGCTTATATAACCCACTGATTCTCAACTTACCACTTTGACCATGAAGCTGGAGGCAGCATGTGTCATAACCCAGAAGATGACAATCTGGAATATGCTTTCAGGTAATGATATTGTTGGAAGTGAAGTAAGAATCAAGACTGTGGTCTTCTGGAATGTGACACCATAGCCTGAAGATGGAAGCAGAAGGTCTCCATGATTCTGCGAGATAAAAATGAATCGTCATGCCTTCATGTCAAACTGTATAAGAGCAGGCCACTCTAGTCTTAAAGCACGCTTAAGTAGATTTCACATTGTGTCCATGGCCGAATGCAAATATGGTGATGGGCTGCAAATGGAGGAACATATCTTCAGAACTGTAAACTGTACGAAGACCAGAGGGCAACAGTGATGGACATTTTGTCTGAGAACAACAAAAAAGAATACCCAAAGTCAGTTTCAGAGCTCTTAAGGCTAGAAGAAAAAAGATCTGTTCAAGGCGTCTGTTACTTCATAAGCAAAATTAATAAATTTATTAAGTAAAGAATGAAAGAAACGTACAAAATGAAAATAGTAATACAATTATGTTAAGAGAAATATTCAAAAATCGCGGGGGGACCGCTTTGATAGAATAAGATGTTTATAAGAATGTGCTACAGAGGGCTGGATGGGCGTTGCATAAGCTGTTTTTGTCTATACACGATTTAAAAAAAAAAGGTTGGTATCCATCTACCATATTGCATAGCATCACATCCAAGATAACTACAATCTTGGTACTTTTCCTGTGAGGACAAATGAGAGAGGAAGTCACAAGATGATGGAGAAAATTGTGCAGCAAGGAGCATCAGAATTTATTCTCTTTGCCAGGTGTTGTTAGAGTGGTCAAATCAAGGAGACCGAGATGGGTGGGGCATGTATGTGCATGTGGAGATGAAAAGGGCATACTGCATTTTGGCTGAAGAACCTGAAGGGAACAGACCACTTGTGAGACCAAGGCATAAGAGGGATGATAATATTAAAATTAACTTGAAAAGAAATAGGGTGTGAGGGTGTGAGTTGAATTCAACTGGCTCAAAATAAGACATGTTTTGTCTGCATGTGTTATAGGCATTATGAAGCCTGAGGCTCTGTGTAGTGATCAGCCTGTCTTATGTAAACCAGAGATTTTTCTGAAAGTACGCTGTGTGGTGTTCACAGGCTTTTGCTTCACTGGGAGCTAATGATGAGGATATACGAAAGAAAATCATTGAAACAGATAACCTAATGGACCATATCGTAAGTGGACTTCAGGACCCGAGTCAGCGAGTTCGGCTTGCTGCTGTTCGATGTCTCCATTCACTCTCTCGATCTGTTCAGCAACTTCGGACTACCTTTCAGGTAACTGGTTCCCTGAATACTGAGCCCTTCTACAGTGACAGGCAAAAGCACACAGGAAGGTGGATGATGTGTCTGGGATGGATTGAGTTAGAAACATAAAAATAAGAAAATTTATGAGAAGAGACACAGTGAGGACTAAGGCATCTATGACTTCCACCAGAATATGGCATCAGTCATTGTGAACCATATATATAATCTGTTATCTTTCCTCTGTTAAGGGTTTTCTGTTTTGATACATGTATTGAGTTTTTTTTTGTTTTGTTTATAGGATCATTCGGTGTGGCGACCCTTGATGCAGCTTCTGCAGGGGGCATCTGATGATATCCTGACAGTTGCTTCCTCAACTCTATGCAATTTGCTTCTTGAATTCTCCCCTAGCAAAGAACCTATTCTGGAGTCAGGAGCTGTGGACTTGCTCTGTGGACTTACAAGACGTCAGGATCCAGCATTGCGACTTAATGGGATATGGGCACTTATGGTAATGTGATCATATATTACAGAATTGTAGTTACTACTACAGCTTTGAATTTGGGAAATTCACGATTCAGTCTGCAAAATCTCTCTCCCCTGGTGTGTATGAGTATGGGGGGTAAGCCATAAAAACCGGCCCTCACACTGCGACCTTCAGTGATCTATTGTGCTTCCCCTTTGGATTAATCATTTATTAATCCTACATTTCGAATGAAATGTAGGACTTTATTTTAACAGGTCCCTTGTTCTTTTGGCAGAGTGTCCTGATATAAATCTTTTTGCCTGTTGGAGTCCAGTTGTGGATACCCAGTGTTTTTTGTGATTTCTGTTAGTCCAGTCTCTGATCACTACCACAGACGCACTGACTACCATGGTCCTCCAGAACACACGCACTCACACAACACTACAGATGAACATACAGCCAACCAAATGAAAGATTTTACATACATATAGTAAGAAAATACAACTGTCAGCAGATTTCTAAATTTTAAATGATGCCTGAAAGCTGGAATACTTCATTGCTAGGCAGTGGTGCAGTAAACACATCTCTGCAAGAGTGAATCAACACACAACAATAGAGGAAGTGGTGTTTTCTGTGGGGGCCACCCCAAGGCTATATAATGAGGATCTTAGGCAGTTGAGAGCTAGAATGGAGGGTGTTTGGAAGATGGCAGTTGAAGACGATTGAGAAGAAGTGGCAGGAAGGGAATTGGGCTGTGCCAAAGAAGACTTCATATGTGAGACTGGCATAACTACTGTGTTGAAATCCGTTGCCAGGATACGACTAGTGAAGACTGAGAACCCTAGTATGTGTGTGTGTGTGGTGGTGAACTGTGAAGTGTGTAGATCAGTGATAGTGCTATAATTGTAGTTATGAGTTGAATGTGTAATATGTCAATAAAGCCAATCATACAATCCAAAAACCATTGAATAGTCACGGACACCCCCCGTACACATGACAGTATTGATATTGTCAATCGTGTCATTACTTAACTTACCTTAATTACATTAGTATTTTAATCTATCTTGATTTCTAATAGTAGAAGTCCCTTTTGAACAACATGTGACACATGTTTATCATACATGTGAAATGATAAACATAAATTGTTGCTCCTGATGGAACCTTGATACATATTCATTTGAAAGTGTGACAGCTTAGAATGTCTGTTAGAAAAATACCACTTGCACATTTCCACATTCTTTCCAGTTCATTATTTACTGAGCATCCTGTGATTCAACACTGTATAAGCTGATTTTCTTACAGCACTGTTAAATAAGCCATAAAAAACAAATATGGTAAACTGGCTATGAGATGGGTGGATGGGATTCAAGTTCTGGTAGGGGCTTTGAGATTTCTCATTTCACACATCCACAGAGATTCTGAGGGCCATTCAGCCTTCTGGCCAGTGGGTATCCAGGACTCCTTTCCTAACAAAGTGGCAAACTGTGAAGCAGTCGTCTCACATCCATTTAGCGTGCATATGTGGAGTATTATTTCCATGCCTTATATACGCCATCATGCTGTAGTGTATTGTCACGTGTAGGGGTTTGCATATGACTTAGAAGTTGGGTACTGGAGTGGATAATTGGATTTATTGACACCTTATTCACACAGTTCGGGACTACAGGCAGTACAGCGCTACTGCTGATCTACACACTTTACAGTTCACTGTTACACATGCACTATGTTTCTCAGTCTTCACTAGCTGTATCCTGGTAACGGATTTATAACAGTCTCATTGTTACTTCAAATCACACATGAAGTCTTCTTTTCAAAGCCTAATACCCTTCTTACCATTTTTTCTGCAACTGCCAGTTCCAAAGACGCAACTCAGTTCAGTTCCTCTGCTACCAAGCTCATATCCTGGCAGGCCAGCGTCTCAAAACTTGACTCCATTCTGTGCTGCGACTACCAGCTTCAGAACTCTTCTTTATAACCACTTTGCATGGGCCATGCAGAAAACACAGTGCCTCTATTTTTGGGAAGGCATGTTTACTGTGCCATTGCATAGCAGCGGAAGTTGCTCGATTGTTGCTTGTGTATTCATTGCTGAAGGACTGTGTTTACCGAGTCATTGCCTAGCAATGAACATCTATTCTGACTTCAGTGTTCTGGCTTTAGGGCATCATGTAGCAGTCTATAGTAATGGATTCTGTTACCTTTCTCTGAGTGTATTTAGACCAGATAGCACAGAACAAAATTGTTTCACTGGCAGCACTTTCACATCTATGAGGTATTCAGATATTGGCTAGGACACCAGATATCCTGACTGATGATGTGTGTCGTTTTCCTGAGTTCTACTAATCAAATGCCAGGATAATACATTAAGGTGAGTCATGACTGCTTCCTTCTATATCCTTTTGAATTCATCATTCACTATCATCCGGTCATTTCATGCCACATAGTCATAGTTACTGACAGAGTCATAAAATTAACCACCAGTAAATAAAACACAGTAGTGCTTCGTGTTCATGAAAATAAGAGGAAAATGCTCAGGGGGAAGGCCGAGATTAACAGAAACAGTGGGTTAGGTAAAGTGTCACACAGAAGGAAGTGATGTGGGAAGCTCTGCGAAGATGGATGGAGAAATGGAAGTGTTGAGTGATGTATTTTTCCTGTGTGGTGCATAAAGTATGGATTTCAAAGGGCTATGTTTGCTTCCTTTCATGTTCTTGTCATTGGAGGACACATATGCTTAGGCTACTTTAGTTAGCTTTTCTGTGTAAAATCATTTTCTCTTTTTGTTCTCTCAGAATATGGCATTCCAGGCTGAACAGAAGATAAAGTCCCAGATCCTTCATGCACTAGGCACGGATCAGATATTTAGACTGCTGTCTGATCCAGAGGTGGGAGTTCTTATGAAAACACTGGGATTGCTACGGAACCTGCTGTCAACAAAGCCTCATATAGACCATATCATGGGTCTTCATGGCAATCAAATAATGCAGATAAGTATCTCTTGCATGTTGTTTTGACTCATATTGAAATCCTTATTGATGAACTTTTCTTTTTCTGCTCTGAGCTGATGCTTAATACAAATAATGTATTACTCTCCACTTTGGTTGAGGTACTATGCTACAAGCCGGAAGGTCGCAGGCTCAAGTCCCGATGAGGTCATTGGATTTTTTCAATTGACCTAATCCTTCCAGCCGTACTATGGCCCTGTGGTCAACTCAGCCTCTAACAGAAATGAGTACCAGGAATTAATTAAATAATTTTCCTGGGGAGTAAAGCATGGCAGGCACATATGACTGACATCCTTACTGCCATCTTTGAGCTGATTGTCTAGATAATGTGGGACCCTTTCATTTTTTATTTATATCCAGCTCTTTCCTTCTCCTTTGATGCATTCCAGTACCCTGCTTTTCTTCTCTGCCCACTTGTGGTTCCACACAGCATGGTTCACTGCATACCATGTCATATGCCTTAGTGCAAGATGTGTACACAATTTTGATAGGGAAATCTATTGTTAGGAAGTGCTTTCCTAAATAACAGTTTGTAGGTTAATGTATCTAAACATAACTGCAGGTCCCAATAACCCATGTATCCTTAACATGAACTATAGGCATGGAAAAGTCTCTCTGTGTGATGCAGGCATGTTGCTTCAGTGGAGTAGCTACAAGTAAAGTGTGTGGTTACTACCTGAATGGATTTCTGGATCAAACAGGGATTCTTTTCTAAACCTCAGACTGACTCTGGGATCCGTTCAGATTTCCAATCTGGCCAGAGCATGGAGCTTTACCTCCACTTCCTCCTAAGTCTTCAGTCTTAGTGCACAGATACTTGGAAGAATGAAAAGAGGACTAATTCTGAAATGGAAGAGGGTGTTATAAAAATAGGTAGGGAGGATATGAACTGGCTTAGGTTCAGATGAGATTGCAAGCTTTGTTTTTAGAAGCACTGACCTTTCGTTTTATTCCTCTTATAGGCTGTGGTGCTGATTTTGGAAGGAACCCACAGTGCAGAAGTCAAGGAGCAGGCATTATGCATTTTGGCTAATATTGGTGATGGGGAATCAGCTAAGGAATATATAATGGCCAATGAAGATGTCCTGAAGAAACTTACTGATTACATGGTGTGTTCTGTAACTGCTTACTTTCATGTCGTTATATGGACTTATAATAATGACCTGCTCTTGTGCAACAGTCCTTACTGCAAGACCTGTGACCCCAGAGTTCTCTTGTTATCATTTGTAAAGAATGATTCAAAAGTTGTTCAACCTGATGCTCCCAGTCATATGGAAATGGTCAACAGTATCGCAGTTGTGGCCATATGTGTGACAGGAGAACATTAACTGATTTTTATGGTACTTCAGCAAAACTCATGGCCCCCTGACCCTGTAACATATTTGACTCACTCACTTTTGCTATACTCACCTCCAACTAGTGCTGAGGTCAAGAAGACGTGGATCTATACATCGACTCCCCCCTACACCTTCATGGCATAGTTCTTAATGAGTTAAGTACAGGGACAGCTTTACCTTGCTATGCTTAAAATACAAAATGGCTGAATGATATGCTACACACAGTATAAACATCAACCTGCTGAAAGCATGGAACATCTGAACGCTGATATATATTTAGCACTTAAATGCAACATGGCTATATGTATTTTAACTCAGAAAATTTGTGTGTGTGTGTGTGTGGGGCTTGTTTTGTGCTCACTTTTTAGAAACATTTTATCTGCCATTAGAAATGCTTGTTAGCCTCTATAGTAAAGACTGCATCCTAGCCCCTGCTTTCAAACTGTTAATCACAAACAAGTCATTGTGTTACAGTGATATGGAACATGATTAGACACCTGCAGAAATACTATGCAGAATGCCTGCCTGAACAAGAGCATCGTCATGGTGTCTGTTCTATAGTAAAACAAAATCTTGTGCTCCACAGATGCACTCGAACGTGAAGCTGCAGATAGCGGCCATCTTCTGCATATCCAATTTGGTATGGCGAGAAGAAGCAGGATCAAGTGAACGTCAGGCACGACTGCGAGACCTTGGCGTATATAAATTACTGCAGCAGTTGATCATGACATCTGACACACTTCTCTTTGACAAGTGCGTACATCTCCGTTCAGATAGGGGCATGTAGCTCATTGTTATATATATGCAGCTGCTAGACACTGCTTGACAAGCACCAAGCCACGTGGCACATTTACTCTTTGTATATGACATTACTGGAGAGAGCAAAGCAGTACAGCACATGGCACCAATAAATTCATATATGTGAAGGGTGTCCCATGTGGAGGTGGGTTAGAATACTTCCACAATAGCCCTGTGAGTCATAGAAGGTGATGAAAAGGAATCCTAGTGCCTGGGAGCATAATTTGGCCACCCTGTCACTGGGGAACATAAATACAGAGACTTGGTACTCATGGTTTGATGTTGAACGTGAGGGTGATGACCTTGCTCTGTCAAAAAAATTCCTGTTGCGGAATCCAAAGAAGTGAAAACTGAATGGGCTAATGCGCAATGGAACAGACAAGTATGGCAGTATCATCTAAGGAAGGCTGTTGCTCAAAAAGGACCATTTTGCCAGTGATGATAATATTAAGGATACTGGGGACTTTTCCCATGGTAAAGTGATGGGGGTGTTAAGCTGATCACTCACCTCCTCCTAGTGCTGAGGTCAGAGTGATGGAACTATACCTCCACTCACCATACATCTTCATGATGTGGTGCTTAATTAATTAAACACAGGAACAACTGTACCTTACCTTTATACATAGTAAAAAGAACATTACAATACACATGTTCAGAGAACTTAAAATTTATGGAGTAACCTCTGATGTGGGTAACACAGCTTTATCAGTATAATAACTGGGTTATAGACTAGATAGCTGAGGAACGTGGTTTGATTCCTAGCAGTGCCAAGATGTGTTTCTCTTTGCCACCACATCCAGACACTCTTGGACCCATCCAGCCTCCTATGCAATTGGTACTTGGAGCTCTTTCCCCAGGGGTAAAGCAATTGGAGCATGAAGCCAGTGGCTCACCTTCATCTACTGCTAAGGTTAAAAAAGGCACATCTGTATGGCATAATGCTTAGTTAATTGAATACCCATCAGAATTATTAATCCCAAGTAAAAAAAAAATGGTTAGAGCTCAACATTCATCAGTAGTATTCATCTCCAAAATCCACAGTGTAGCATCTTCATTTTGTGTTAACTCACATTTTACTAAACATTTCATTGTCTGCTGTTTGTTACTACAGTTGGTTAGGGTGACAGTATTTTTATTTTGGACATTATGTAAGGAGGCTTAAAGTACACGTTGCCAGGGGCTGCTTCTAGATGCACACTAGGAGACACGTGAAGGGATGCTGGAAGTTAAGTACCTGTCCATGTGTGTCACATGTTTTGTCATGGAGTGTAATATCAGTCTGAATAAAGCTATAGTAACAAATAGCAACCTTGAATGGTACAAGATGCAAATTTATCTCATTGCTTCTCCTGCCTGCATGCTGTCTAATTTATTTCTGTTTCCTTTTTCCAGGGTGAAAACAGCCATGACCCAGTTTTCTGATGCATGATGGTCATTGTGGTAACACTGTATCACCACTGAAGATGTCCTCTATGTACTACTACATAGTACAAGGTCCTGATACTTGTTAGTTTGTTCTTTTATTTAGTATGACAATTTTGTGTAGTGTGGAACCCCATTTAATGTTTCTTGCATCAGTACTTCTCCTCCCCCTGTTTAACTTTCAGTTTCATTGATTCCAAGCCAATAATCACAGAGTTAAATTTGCTCCATTTTTCCTCCACTTCTCAGTTCAGTGTTCAGATCCAGCAGTCCACAAAGAACCCTTATATGGGGGTTTCAGTGTAAATGTAACATGCAGATAACATCAAATAAATTCTCTGTTGAATATACATCTCAGTTCTTTGAAAGGTTATTTTTTAGATATTAACATTGCACATTTAATACAGGGTGCATCAGAAATAACTGACAGTTTTTTAAATGTAATTACCATCTTTCCTGGCATATGACGCTTCCATATTAACATCTGTCATGTACAGAGTTGAAGTTGAGATGGAATGCTGGTCATAGCAACGCTGCTTTGCAGCTCTGGAACTGTTTATCAGAATAGAGTCACTTACAGCTACAGAGCGTGGTTTCCAACTGTTTCAAATGCATGATGTATTATGCCATTATGTGGTCATTATCAGAATGCCAAGGACAGTAAACCCAAGCTCAGTGCATATATCAATGAAGAGAGAGTAAGAGAAGGCATAGAATTACTCGGCTTTCAGTCTTTGTCCATCATCCAGATTCAAAAGAACTAGAAAACACAGCGTTTAGGAAACTGGATCTGTTTCCATCCTTAGGTGAGGTGAGACACCTCTCTTGGGTTCTTTAGAAAGAGCTAACCTCAATCATTGGACAACCCATGTCAGATACACTACAGGTATTTAAACTCTGAGACCAGGCTAAGTCGACGAGAGCTAACAGGAAAATATGCAATGGAAATTGTGATAAAGCAACGCATCCACACTTGAACCTGGATATGGCATGTGCTGTGGAATGCACTGTTTCGAAGCTGCCAGAGACTTTGGGCATGGAATTCAGGTGGAAGATTAGGTGCATGTTAGGAAAGTCTAAGCCTTCCAGTCCTAACATGACCACAGATGAGTTGAGTGCCATGAAATTTTTGAGGCTTAACAAAGATACTAGGATTCTGTAGGTAGACAAAGGCGACTGCACAGTGACGTTGGACTAATCTAAATACAAGGATAAGTTGAACACTTTGCTAGTATCAGGGGTTTATGAATCTTTGCCCAAAGATCCTACAGCTAAGGTTGAGAGGAAAGTACAGGAACTCCTTTCCAAACACAAAACTACTCTTCCTACTGATCTGAAACACAAGTTGACTCCACACCACAGTAGACCTCCTCATCTATATGGCCATCCCAAGATTCACAAACCTGAAATTCCTCTGAGGTCTATATTGAGTCCTATTTGGTTCCCCAAGCTATGCCCTGGCTGGCTTTCTTCATAAGACACTAAGTCCTCTTGCTGGAAAATTGGAATTGTTTGTCAACAATTTGGGCCACTTCATACAGTTGAAGGCTGTAAACCTTCAATCTTGAGATACTCTCATTAGCTTTGATGTCAGTCTTTTCACTTATGTACCAGTCAACGAAGCCCTACAGGTCATAAGAAATAAGCTCCACAACGATGTCTCACTGGCAGAATGGTCTGCCTTACAGGTCGAAGCCATCATGGAGCTGTTAAGACGTCTGCCTGAGAACCACATAATTTCAGGTGGACAAGTTCTTCCAACAGAAAATGGTATAGGTATGGAAAGCTCTCTTTCACCCATCATTAGCACCATCTTCATGGAGCAAACAAATTCTGAGGCCTTTAGTCTGCAAGTGAACTATACTGACCGAGTGCCTGTCACTTGTCAGCATAGTTAGTGCCAACTGGCTCTAGACTTGGCACCATACAAACCATCACTCTGGCTATGGCACGTTGATGACACATTTGTGGTCTGATCTCATGGTCCAGAGTAGTTACAGAATTTCCTTGACCACCTCAGTGGTAAGCTGAGTCAGCTCAATTTCCTTTTTGGATGTTCTGGTCATCAGGAAAGAGAAAACCCACCCACACTGGCTGATATCTCAACTTCAAATCCAACCATCTGTCCCATGTGAAAAGAGGCTTGATTCAGTGTCTTCACAATAGAGCTTCCACCATATGCCAAGAATGACAAGTTCTGGTTAAATAATACATTTATCTCAGTAAAATTTATGCCTTTAATCTAAAATGTCTTTTCATTTTAATGAATGTTTATTGCAATAAACATGAAAGGACATGTACGAAGACATTTTTATGAACTATGTAAGATGTAAGATTTTAAGTTTTTAAAGCAGTGAAGAGTGATACAGTGCTCTCTGGGTTATAACATTTTGTAGCCTGGTAGGTGCATATCAACATTCATTTGGATCAAACTGCCTTCATTTCTAATCTGAACACGGATGCAATATGTTCGCCCATAATTTTAATTTTCCTCAATTAACCTAAAAAATCACACATCTCTTATGAAGTCATATAAAGCCCACTAAAATTTCAGTGAATTGTTAAAAACAAACATCACCAGAAATACCTGACCTCAATAATTTACACGTTCTGTTTTTATTGTGGGTTAGTTAATACTTTCAGTATTTAGCCTATACAGCATTGAATGATGAACCGGAAAGGATTTGATCATAGCCTAATCAAGGTACAGTCTGGGCATTTGCTGTGGAAAACCGGATAGCCATTGCGCAGGTTGAAGTTTAAACCAAACACCTCTCAAATACAAGTCCAGCACATTTGGTGAGGAGCTCTGGAAATTCAGCTATATTTCATCTAAGATATTGTCATGTGTAGGGGAGGTACACATTATGAAATGATGGGTTCTAATTTGGAGGATTGGATTTATTAACAACTTCATTACACACACTCTCTTAATTACACTCAAATTACAATGCTATTGCTGATTTACATGCACACTAGTTACATGCCAAGTCTTCACATGACGAACTTCCCGTGGCTGTCACTTAAACACTTTCAAATACTCCCCAATATTACTCGGTTATTCCTGGAATCTCGTTATAAAGCATTTGCACTGACCACTCAGAGAATAGTCTCTGTTGCTCAAACAAGTTTACCGAGCAATTGCATAGCAACTGCCATGGCACTGACTGCATAGAAAACGCCACACTCCCATTGTTGCCTTGCATATATTCGGTCGCGGCAACAGTCAGTTACCTAGAAATGCCGTGTCTATCCACATTACAATACTAATTTAAACAGAACAACACTGTGCGCTGAGTGGTGCTGCTACCTACACAAATCTTTTTAACAATGGTAGGTACTCTGGAACTGACTCAAACATACCATCTATCATCTGTTGCTCTTTGTAAGCACTTTCTAACATACATAAGAACAGAACAGCATGCCTCAGCCTTTCCCATATAAGGATTTGTTGTGCATACCATTAAAGACAGCTGAGACTGTATAGTATCAAAATGGTATGACAACAATTAAAAAATGTGGAATGAAGCAGTCATGGTGTAATTTGCGGTACTCTCAGCATGACATTTGCTTTGAGGGACAAGAGATTGACAATAGACTTCAGCCATGATAGCCAATATCCATGCTGAGAGGAATAAGCCGAGCTACAAAAAAATGGTACAGATATAGAGGGAGGGTAGCTTGTAAAGGGGCTCAGAATGAATCAATACACAGCACCTGAAAGGTAAAACAACAGATAAATTTCTTCTGGATTAGATGTATCACATCTCACAAGACGGCAACTTCATAGTCACTGTTGTAAGGCCCTGAAACCTCACATAGTTTTTATACATTTAAAATCTGAGGACCATGCAACCCTGACGACTCATTTTCAGAAACTTGTTACATCCAAACTTGATGGCTATCCCGGTGAAGATCTTTGTGGAGCCCTCATTTTGGTGAGGGAACTCTTAGCATACATGGAGCACCTAAACAAAACTATAGAAAAGTTTTCCTGACCCTCATGAATATTCTAACATCATTCTTGTATTCAATCCTCATAATTGCTAAATCATCATCAAATAAATCTTAGAATTGAATTAACAGGGGCATATGGTAGCGCAGTTGGTTGAGGGGCTATGCTACAAGCCTGAAGGTCGCGGGTTCAAGTCCCTATGAGGTCACTGGATTTTTTCAATTGACCTAATCCTTCCAGCCACACTATGGCCCTGGGGTCAACTCAGCCTCTAACAGAAATGAGTACCAGGAATTAATTAAATAATTAAAAACACAAACAAAGCCTAATCATACCACCATGAATCTTACTCAGTCACTGTTCACAACACTAACAATCATTAATAATGATACAAAAACAATCAAGCAACTCAAACTGCATGAGCTGCCAATCCTGACACTAAAATATCTTTACCTTCACATTCAGATTAACATTATAATTTACAATAAACAATGTAAGATTTGAGGTTTTCATGGCGGTGACTATGAAACGTCTATTAACCCCACACCTACATGGTGCCACATCCCAGAAGACTGCTTTCTACAATAAACAAATTCCTGTAGTGTGAAATTCAGTCAAATTAATATCATATAACTGAAGCCTTATGAATGTGAAACACTCATATTCACAAAGATGCTCGCTGACACTGATATTAATAAGAAAACAAAAGAAGTAGAAACAATTCTACAAGCTGTTATGCTTACAGCTAGAATGTAAAGTATGTGAGTGAGGCCACATCCTTAATGTTCATGCCCCACAGTGCTGCATACTACACAGCTACTACTTCCATTTCTCCAATAGGGTCCTTAGAGCAGCTTACAGTTAAAAGAACTGTGTGCAATGCAACTCAAACACCTGAAGCTAACAGTGTGAAACAATCATTCTCTAGAACAGAAACCATTCTCACTTGGTTGACAGACATTAATATCTCTCATTCATCAACATACCAATCTCCGTGGTGTCACATATTTATTACCTACTCATCATAAGTCAAAATTATCAGGAAGATATTTCAACCAAAGATCACATCTCAGCAATTCAGGACATTGGCCTAACTATAAATATTTTTTTTTCCTTGGCACTACAGCCCCAGTGGGCCTAGGCCTACCTCCATGAACTTCTCTGTTCACTTCAGTTTTCGTAGATCTTACACATTTGGTAGGACTCCTTGGGCGGGTGATCAGCTCATCGCAAGGCCTCTACCTGTATACAAACACAGAAAAACGCATACACACATACTAAACATCCATGCCCTGAGTGGGATTCATACCCACGATCCCGGTTTCCAAGCGAGCAAAGACAGTACATGCCTTAGATCGCTCGGCTACCGTGACCAGCAACTATAAATATATCACCCAAAATTTCTGACATGGCAACACTCTCAGACACTTCGGTAGCCTCGCAGGTAGGATGGATGACAGGGCACATGACATTCACACCAAATTTTCTGGAAAGTGGATCCTTGCAAGATGGAACACCTCATGGCAGAATAACATTAAAACAGGAAGTATCAAGAAGCTGATTTTTGGATCACAGGTGGATTCAACTGGCTACACAACATATCCAATGGACATCTCCATGATGACAGTGACATTCATCCGTCACATTCTGCTGCCAGGGCACTGCTTCTTAATATTCAGTCAGTCACTTAATGGCCTTGCTAAGGTTTGGGATGACCACATGCACTTCTCATATGTCTAATATAAATAACAAACCGAAGACAACTGCATTCACAGATCTTGTATTTCTTTAAAGGCAATATAATTTTCACACTAGTAGAAGAGAATGGAAATAGTGGGCAATGTTATGAGTGCATTTCCAGTAATATCAAGGGACGACAGTGCCACAAGACTGCCAAATTGACCTTAGCCATTCAGAAGCAAGCTGTTAAAACAAAACAAGGATGATGGATATTGAGACCACACAAACTAGGGCACCAACTGTGGGTGAAAATGGAGAGGGCGCTAGCTCAGTAGATGGGGCAAAAATGCCAACACACTGTTCCCCTATGCACCATGATCACTTAGGCTAATGCAAAGATCTTATTCGATAAGGTGAATGTTATTGAATGTGCCACAGTTTTCTGCCAGTGCTGGGTAGTTCAAACATTTTAAAGGTTATCACAGATTCCACAACCTTAAATTAGTAGGTGACAGTTGCCAATCCACCAACTTGGAATCTTCAACTTCTGCAGAGGAGCCTGCCCAGTCTCCTCTTGGTCCTGCATCTTCAGCCCTGCCAGTATCCCACGGATTATCTGATTAATTTTTTGTACATTGTGAAGTAAATAATAATGAAATTTCAGAGTAAGCAATTATTATTAAACTTTGGAATGCATGCCGTATTATAGCATGTTACAGTCAATTCACTTTCTGCAGCCATTTCCAGGAATACATTAATCACAGTTTCAGGGGATACCTAGACTTCACAAAATTCAGCATTACATTGCATTAAAAAAAATACTAAGAGTAACTTAGAAAGTGCATCTTCCCAACAACTGAAGGGTGCAACATCACTTAAACAATTTATTGTGTCAAAGAATATGACATTTTAGGTTCTTACAGGACTGATCAATTATGAAGAGTCCTTCGGGATGTGATGCTGCAGAAGAAAACTGCTGGTAGAAATTTATGTTGGTAAACTATCAGATTGCCGGTCACGGTAGCCGAGCGGTCAGAAGCTCAGAAGCTGGGATCGTGGGTTCGAATCCCACTCAGGGCATGGATGTTTGTGTGCATTTTTCTGTGTTTGTGTACAGGTAGAGGCCTTGCGACGAGCTGGTCACCCGCCCAAGCAGTCCTGCTGTATGTCTAAGATCTAGTAAACCGAAGTGAAAACGGGGAGTTTCATGGAGGTAGGCCTAGGCTCAAACGAGGGCTGTAGCGCCAATGGTGTCACGTCCCAGATGGTGCCAAGAAACATGATCACATTATGGAAGATTACCAAACTTGAAGATCAATATAAATTAACCTTTACTGTCCAGGAGATGTCCCACTTTTTCTAGTGGCCATATTTAAACTCATTGGTAACATATTATGCTGCAGAATGTGACAACCCAAAACATGGCCACAAGTCCAGTAATACTTAACTTAATAAAAACAGGATTCCTGGAACTTTTGTTATATTTTACATAGTAGATTTATAAAAACCAAACAAGCAACTAACTATTTTACACTATATATTATGTTTTCTTTGGTGAATAAAAACAAATGTCTCATTCTTTCTTCATGTAACACAAAAGACAGACTCCAGTTTTACCAATTCATGTTCATAATGGTACATCATCCACTAAAGCACATCCGAAAATTGGCTCACATAAACGAAGTCCAGTTTACCAAGAAATGTTGTCCATGGGCTTCAGTCATATTTTATTTTGGAAATGAGGATTATATCAGAAAATACAATTCCTGGATTACATTGGACAAAAAGTGAAAGGCACATAAAATGAGCAAGATTCCTTCTGGGGAAATTTTTCACTAAAATAAACTTTCTCCACTTTGCATGGAATGATTTTCCATAAATTTGAAATATTATTCTCCATGGGCAATGATACTGTTTTACATCAGGTAACACATTAATTCTGTCAGAATGCTTGGCATATCTGGATATGTCACATTCTCCATCAAAGGACTATAAGTTTTAAGTGGCATTATTTCAACAGACACATGAAGAATTTATTTCTAATTTATAAACCAAAATACAGAAGGAATTTACTTCACAACAATCCAATGATGCGGATATTTTTCCATGTAATTAGTTCATTTCTCCTCTATCAAATATACAACATTCACAACCTAACTGGTTGTGCATGCTACATGTCCCTTAGAACCAGCTTCAGCAGTTCATCCTTGTTTCTGGCTACACTGCTTGGCACATGTTTCAGAACATTTCGCTGGATGGCATTTTCTAGGAGAGCACGCCACGTGTTGTCATTCTGGAATTAAGTATGTGTTAATAAGTGTCATGCATTCACAGCATTATTTTCAACAGAGCAATTTACTATGTGTTACTATGTTTAAAATGTAAAATATTAACGTTATATTTTAGCGTCCTGTTGCACTGAACATATGAGGGCAAGCAATGCAATATATTGACATAATTGGGACACCTGATGATGGCACTATGTTGCCGAAACATGTTGTGAAGTGACAGGTGAAATTGAGTGCACTACAAGACGTCCACTGTATACATATCATGGAGTAAAATATTAAATTATTAATATTAATTCTACAAGGATTTTCTTTGCTTAAAAGACAACTGCTTAAGTATCTTCAGACCTATCACTACAGAAATCAATAACTAAAGAGTATGCAAGTAAACTCAGTATGTGGACCTGTACCATGTAAGACTGAGCAAAGAACGCTGCAACATTGTACAGATATTAAAATGGAATATGACTGCATGTTATTCCAGACAATTTCATCAAGGTGACTAATGTAACGTGACGCATGCCATGAAATATTCCCACACCAATTATAATTCATCTTAATTATCTGGTTTAGAATGAGCCACATTACAATCTTGTGTACATTCTAATGTTGCAAAATGTATATAAGCAACAGACTATATGAATTTTTAGAAAGTAAAGTGTGAATTATGTTCTTTTAATCCTTTAGAGTAAAATAGTTACTGTACATACCACTTTACTCAATATTAAAAACTGCATTGTGCAAAGAACCTATATTTCCCTAAACAGCTTTAACTGGCTAGTCTTTGTAATGGAGAAAATGTTTCCTGTCTTGCATTTTTAAATATTATTTAGATAAAGTTTACGCTTCCATGGGTTACATTCAATGCTGCATAAGCATTGGTATTATGTTGTGATGGGATACTAATTCTGGTGATTTACAAGTCACATGATTAAGACTAAATTAGAACTAAGGCTCTAAACTGAATTATCAAATGGATTTGAATATCTCAAATTTGTAATGAACCCTCTTGTGTGAAGGTATGACTATTCTGGGGCACAGACGCAGGAGCTCACTGAGCACTGGTTTATGTACAGTTCAGCTCTTACTAATCTCTATTCAATTTTTTTAAAGTTATTTCACATTCAGTATACAGCGGTATCACTTTTTATGCAGGGGTTATATTTTGAAAGTTGATGCATAAACCCAAAACTGTGTATAGTCATAATTACCCATAAAATCCCTTAAATCACCCATAAAGTACATGTATATACCCAGTAATTTTATTTTTAATTACACGAGAAATAGAGAGAGAGAGAGGGACATGGAGAAACAGATGGAAGAATAAAAGAAAAAAGAAGTTCTGGGAAGAACTAACTGCCTGCTTTCCTTTGATATGATGTGGACCACATAGAAAATGAAAATTTGAGGGGAGGGGACAGACAGCAAAGTGATCTCAAAAGCCTCCTTTCGTTTTTCAAAATAAGGAAAGCAGGTTCAAACAGAAGAGAGTAAACACAAACACTCATCATTCCTGGATATTCCAATGATTAGTCTTCCTCTTCCCCCCTCAGCACTATTTTGGAGTAGTCTGGGCTATTTAAAGTTTTATTTTTTTAGAGCAAGTATGACTGAATTTGTTAGTTAAATGCTTGTATGATGTGATGCCACTGTACACATATGACAATATAATTCACTCAGGAGACTGAGTGGCAAACACTGTTTAAATTTAATGCAGTTTATAAATGGAAACAAGCATCACTAAATGGGATTTGAGGTTCTCACAAAAGTGAGACGAAGTAATGACATTTTAGAGGAATGTTCTGCCTACAGCTTCTGCATAACACTAAACCGTGAGGCAGCTGGTTCCTCTATAATGATAGTAAATATCAATCACACCAGTGTCACCAAGTAAACTGGCTCAACAGGTAATATGTCTGACTTGCATTTGGAAGGTCCCTAGTTCAAATCTTGGCTGGGACACCAGCTGTCCTGATTGAGGTTTCCTGTCACCTTCCTTACTCCTTCCAGGTAAATGTCAAAATAGTACCCTAAATTATGCCACAAGAACTTCCTTCTGCATCCTTTACAATTAATTATTTGCTACCCAATCATCTGACACTGTATAGGCTGAATTATTGCCAGCATCATTAAATACACGTAATCCATGGAGAAATAATGTTCACAGTCACCACTGTGAGTACCTCAAATCACACACTTATAACAACTGTTACGTGGTTACAGTTTTCTGTTGATCGTATTTTAATGCATATGGCAATGAAATTCATCGCTATGGGAGAGTGTAGCATCCTTAGCCTCACAACTCCCTCCTGCCCTCTGCCATAACAGATTGTAATTTGCTTTACTTAACTAGGAATACTTGTGAAGGAAAGAGTGGAATGAGTTGTGTGCAACCACATACAAAGCAGATGCCTCCGTTTATAGTGTTACACTCTTATGCCTACCCGCAGAGAGGTGAAGTTGCCACAGAGCAACAAGGAATATCGAGCTCGAGTCAGAGCTACATTGAGGCGCCGAGTATCTGACAGGAAGCCTACACCACCTGTCCTTACACATGACATCACAATAATGTCTCGTTCCTGTCCTTGGAAGCTGTCTATTGTATTGACTTCCACATTTTCGGAGGCACAGCAACTGCAACAAAAATGCATTTTGATGAAACCTAACACAACTATACAATGTCAGACAATACTGTGAATAATACACCATATCTTAACCTCCCGTGTTCTTTGAATGGTACACCGCATGTGCTTCCAGTTCTGTTTAAAGTGACTGTTCTTGTAGAATTTATTTTAAAGTTCCTACTTTTGGTCTCTATAATGACAGTATGATAAAGAATCCACCTTGAGCTTGACAGCAGAAATCTTGCCTTCACTAGGCGGCAACTTGTCAATACAAAACAGCCACAAGTGCACTGTACCTTTCCATTTCCTGAGCTAGACAGGAACACTGCCATAACACCAGCACTTACATGCATTGCTTATAAAAAGTTCATAAAATAAACATACGAGGAGCATTCCGTATATAATGCCTATTTTTTAATGAAAACTACAACAGATACAGAAAGCATAATAACACAGTTAAATAGAGCAAGATTTCAGCTACTTACAGCTATTTTTCCACATAATCACCACCATTCGTTATGCACTTTTGCCAGCGATGAACAAGAGCCTGTATGCCGCACTCGTAAAAGTCTGTGCCAGCAAAGGCAAGCCACTTTCTTACAGCTGCAATGACAGCATCATTGTCTGGAGAATGTTGACCCCGTAGTCCATCTTTCATAGGTCCATAGAGATGGAAGTCTGAAGGTGCTAAATCGGGGCTATAAGGTGGATGTGGTAGGACAGTCCAGCCAAACTTTGCAATATGCATGGTGGTCATCAAACTGGTATGGGATCTAGTGTTATCGTGTTGCAAGCGATAGGTTGTCTGCTTCGGGAAATGCAGGCTACCAGCTTACTCGGCATCTTGTAGCGTTCAGAATTGACAGTCTCACCAGGCTCCAGGAAATCCAACAAAATCACACTCCCCCTATCCCTGTCTTGAACTTCTTTTTTCTTGGGGAATCCGGATGTCACCACTCCATGGACTGTCTTTTGGATTCCAGCTTGTAGTGGTGACACCACGTCTCATCTCCGGTGATGATGCTGTCCAGAAACTTGTCACCTTCAGCCTCAAACTGGTGCAACAGTTCCTGACAGACTTCCATTCATTGAGTTTTGTGGTCCTGTGTAAGCATCCGTGGGACCCACTTGGAACAAACTTTGCGATAATCGAGCTTCCCCAACATCGTTTCCAATGCATTACAGCCGATTATAAGCCGTGCTCACAGTTCCCTGGTCATTATCTGCCAATCTGTACGGATGAGCTGATTGGGGCGCTGTTCACTGTGAGGCGTGGCAGCTGAGCAGGGATGCCCAGGGTGTGGTTTGTCGTGCACTTCACTTTCACCACTGTTGAAACACACTACCCACCGCCTCACTGTGCTGACATCTGCTGTATCATCTCCATACACCTTTAGCAAGCGTCGATGGATGTCAACGGGTGCAATTTGTTCAGCAGTGAGAAATTCAATAACACATCTGTTTCGTATGCACTTCTATGTCAGATGCCATTTTGGTAGACTGCTCTGCTGTCGCTATCTGTCACACGACAACCAAACTAACAGTACATTGGCGGGAAGGTTCAACCTTTACTACAACACCAACAACATCCAGCTCACATGTTACAGATTAACACAAAAAAACAGGAGGCATTATATATGGCGCGTCCTTTGTATGATGGAGAGACTGAATCCGTCTTCACATTTCAGCTCCAAAACTAAATTTCTGTGGAATATGGTAATACATACTTTTCACTAAGTGTTTCCATGAGAATTTAATTCTGCTTTGTATTGATAAAAAATAAACCGTATTTTACATGAAGGTGAAATAAAATTTTACTGGTTTTTCTCAGAAACAACGTACTGTACAAGAAAATAAAATACTGATCTCATCACAATTTACACCATTTAACACTCTTCTGATATGGTGCCTATTTAAAGAAATACAAGGAACAATAATTTCTGATGGTAGGCACTGTGCGCAAATTTACAAAAAATTCTATGCAATATGCCTAATGGATCTGTGAGAGGTGTTGAACAAGTTACATCTAAGGGTCATATATTTATTACTTCAATGTACATATCCAAAAGAACAAGGAATAACAGTCAAATCATCCATTTCTCCATGTAACTACCAGGTTACTGAGGCATCAGTCCCAGTGGGACACAATATGTTCAGATGTGGTAGTGTTGTGCAACAGCATTATGCATTCACTCTAGTCTCATGGCCATGGGACTGCCTTGCTCATCCACCACTCAGCCTGGGCCTTGTGCATAGTGATTTCCACTTATAGGGATCACTGTAGAAGTACTAGAAAGGGAAACACTTCTGACACACTGATGACATGGAAACCAAGTGTGGCGGTGGATGCACACACCAAGCCTTTATTTCTCTCTGTGGAAATCAAATATGTGTCACTGCATCAAATGTTGCTATGAGCGTGCCAATTACATGGAAAAAGAGATGGTCTGAATATCATTTCTTGCTGTTTAGCACAATAAACACAAGTGTTAACATATCCTCCAATGATATTTATTGAAGAGCCTGCATATTAGCATTCATTTTTCCCTCTTTGCATTGTTGGAGGCAATAAATAGTTATATGTTGAATGAATATCTGATATTCACAATTTAGGGACACATGCTGAAAGGATAATGAAAGTTGATGTGCTTCAGTACGAATGATCGTCATTCAAGATTTACATATACTTCATACGACTGGCAATAAAATATAGCAATTAAAAGGTAAATAAATAGGATCACTGAAAAAGTTCAACATATTTAACAGAAATATCCTACACATAATAAAAATGGGCGAGATATATTAGTGTGAAGATGCAAACATCTCACTACAAGATTCGCATCAGCAACAAATGGATACCGGATTCAAATTGCAAACACTCTGCTTCAAAAATATATGCATACCAAATAAGACACTTTCCCTCTCATTTTGAAATAATAATTATTAGTTATTTTAATTTATTTTGTACAGTAGCATTTCTGCCCACATTCATGATTGATAACCAACATAAAGATCAGGAGTGCATATTATCTAGAAGTGGAATATATGGTTCTTTGGTCTTGTGACAGTTCCTGTCTCTGATGCTAGACTGGACATCCTTACACAGGCAGACGAGAACATCGAGTGTGTGCTGTATGCAATTTATGTAACAATACAGAAATCATGAGCAGCTCAATCTAATTATGATACATCAAACTCCGTTAAGCTCTGAGCTCAGTTCTTGTCCTTTTTGGGCTTTCTGGGTTTAGCCAATCCTATACTGAAGCTATTACAGTGTCAGTACATGCTGCAACTGCAGTGCATGCTGAAAGGTTGGAACAGCTTAAGAAGAGAACACTGTTAAACCCCAAAAGCCAAATTTACACATTTTGAGTTCAGATTCTTATAATAACCATTGACAACTTTCATTATATGATGCCAGTCCCAGATGTATACAATTACTTCCTTGTGCCACATAATCATATTTTCTGTCATGATTCCATTCTGTGAAGCAGTCCTTCAGAAGCTGATAGTCATTTGGCTAGTTAAGGACTTCCACAGAACCTGATCATTAATCACCATGTTCATAACAGCAAGTCAATGGGCCCTATCCTGAGTAAGCAGAATCTGGTCAGTACCTCGTTACTCCATTTCTCTGAGATCAGTTTCAATATTATCCCTGCAACAACATATTCTTAACCTTGGTACTAGATGGACCTTCTTAATCACCAAACAGGAAGCCAAATGGGCTCCAGAAATGGGCTTGATTCAAAGAGACTGCCCTGCCAGGAATTGAACCCTGTCATCTAGGCCACAGCAAATCACAATGCATGTGAAAACAACTCATTCTGCCATAACATAACTAGAATTGCTAGGTGGGCAGGGGAACACTGCTGGAAACAAACATGAATGTTGACCTTCTTGTGGAGGTACAGCTCCAGTCCCTCCGAGCCTCTGGCCCTAGATTGAAGCGAGTAGTTAGCATTATGCACCAGCCGCTCTACCTGTGGGCAAAGAGACCCTAAGTACCCATTTAACAGGAGGGGTAGGGGGAGAGCCACAAAATTTTGTGAACAGAAAAAAATCTGTCTCCACCAAGAACTGGACTCAAATACTCTGGTCACAGTCCACAACCTTGTCACTCCTATAAGTGGGCTGGCTAAAACATAACATTTACAGCATCAATATTTTCTCACCACACAGGTTTCATAGAAATGACTTGCCTAGCTTTCAGGATGGATATTATTGTAGCCCGCTGCTTCTGGTATGGTGTGATTATGCCTATGCTTAACTGCTGGTTGCCCAGCTTCTCCAAAAGGCCTAATGTCAGCTGACTCACAAGTTCAGCTTCACCAGCATTTGACAGTTCCCTGAAACAAAGAGAATAAATGTAACTTACAGGCAAGAAGACCTCTTCTATGTATACTTACGTGTACTGCAACATTTACAATACTTTACCTGAATTGGACACAAAATACAGCAAGACTGCAAACTTATACATACATTCAATATAAATGTGTTACTTATAGGATTTAGGGAAATAAATAATATACAGCAAATAACCACAAACAGGCTAATCATTAAGAGCACTGTCATCTGTGAAGTGATGCCATATAGGCCAGTACAGAGGTACAGTAAAAGTTGTGACATCCAGCACTGGATGATCTGGAAAGCTCTGTTAACCAGAAACTAATTGCAAATATAATGCTTAGAAAAGTGAAATACTGGTACACTGTTAGGTTCTTCTTTTTAGACAATACTGTGATGTGGACGGCACAACGATCGGTAAACACCCCCCCTCCAGCAGTGACGTAACAGCATTGGAGCAACAGCTGCTGCTATGGTAACAGGCCAGCCAACGCTCCATCCCATTCCCCTGCGGTGATGTAACAGCACTTCCCACAGTGACGTAACAGGGGACACTTCTGGCCTATTGTACCAGCCTCATATAATAGGCGAGGGTGATTGTGGAGCAGTTGGTGGAATGAAGGCAGGGGAACCGAAGTACTCTCAGAAAACCTGCCCCAGCGCCACTTTGTCCACCACAAATACCACTTGAACTATGGCGTGGCATTTCTCTGTCTTTACTTCTAGACCAACCTCCTTACTTGCGTCAATTAAAGTCTGTGTGTTTCTCTTTATGGTATCTATATTATAACCCAGTAGACTCATATCACCAGTACAAACCAACAGTTGATGTGTCCCATTTAATTTCAGTCCCACCTGTTTTTTTCTGGACCTTCCTAATGACATATTCTATAGCAAAATTGAAAAGAAATGGCGATAAAGCATCTCCTTGTTTCAGACCATTCTGGATAGGAAAACTATCAGACAAATGTTTACCTATATGGACTTTCGTTTAAACATGTTTTAATCAGCCTAACTAGTTTCATGGGTACCCCAAACTCTATCAGAATATTGTACAATACTTCCCTCCTAACTGAATCATAGGCTTTTTTGAAGTCTATGAACAGCTGATGTACTGTCTCATTGTACTCCCATTTTTTCTCCAATATCTGAAGAATGCAAAAGATCTGATCTGTAGTTGATCTGTTATGTCGAAACCCATACTGATGATCCACAATAATTTCACCTATGTATGGACTTAACATTGAGAGAAGAATATTGGCTAAAATTTTATATATATAAAGTTGATAGCAGAGGTATCCCCCGATAATTACTACAGTCAGTTTTATCACCCTTCTTGTGAACTGGTACAATAATAGACTCCTTCCACTGATCAGGCAATTTTTCCTTATTCCAAATAGAACTAATTAGCTTACGGATCTTAGAACATAATATTTCACTTCCTGCTTGAATGAGTTCTGCCGGAATTTGATCACTACCTGGTGATCTATACCTTTTCAATTTGCAATAGCACTTTCAACCTCAAATGGGTTAGGATCAGGTACTAACAGCTCAGCTGTATGTATTCTACGTGCTTGACATCACTGACGCTATGTACATTTGATGAGAGAAACAGTTCTTCCACCTATTCAAAATGTTGTGGAAATCTGCAAGCAGATCACCATTCTCATCCTTCACTAAGTTACTGCTAGGCTGGTAGCCCCTCTTAAAGTCATTTATTCCTCTACACAGGTCTCTAAAGTTCTTCTTCTTACTGTTCATTGCAAGCTCATCAATTTTATCTTTCAGATATTCCCTCTTTTTGTTCCTGAAATGCCTGCTGGTTTCACGTCTCATATTGTTCAGATTATCCCCACTTATTTCGCTTTGATCCTGTAACCACTGCAATTTGACTTGTTTTCTTTGGACTAATAATTCTGAGCATACTTCATTGAACCATGGCTTGTGATTCTTCGGTTCATAATAACCTAGCCTCTGTTTGGCAGACATTTTTATATTCTCTCTAACAGTTTCCTAAGCTTTAACATGCATTTCGGTGTCTAAGTTATCCAAAGCTGTGAACCTACTTGAGATTTCACCATGAAACTGCTCCTTCCCATGTACCTCATTTAATTTATTGAGACTGAACCTCTCCATATGAACTCTGTGCAGTGTTCATTTACTCACTGCCATTCTCTTCCTGACCTTTGCCATCACCAGGTGGTGGTCAGTATCACAATCTGCTGCCTTGACTGATCGAACACATCGGACATCAAGTATACTTGAGTGCCGTCTCGTATCTATCAGAATATGGTCAGTCTGGTTGTGCATCTTCCCCTCAGGAGATGTCAAAGTAAATTTATGGATGTTACGATGTTTTGAGAGTAACATTTTTAGATGTGGCAAAGTTTACCATTCTACGTAACCCCATTATCATCCATGATATGTATGTAATGGCCGTCTTGTAGTGCACTCAATTTCATACGTCGCTTCTTACTACATGTTTCGGCAACATAGTGCCATGTTCAGGTTCGTTATTTACGCTACGCAATTACATTGTTTGCCATCTTGTGTCTTTCATAAAATTATTTAGAAAGTACATTATTCGTCAACTATAATAAAATCTGTATATACTAAAACGTGTTAAGATTATTCATCTACATGTCTTAATTCAAACTTGCGTATAGTATGGTTCATCCACTATGGGAGTCGTTTCTGTGTGTACTGTGTCTGTGATGTGTCCTTCCTTTTTGGCTGCGAGCGAAACGTAGTAAGAAGTGACATATGAAATTGAGTGCACTATAAGACGGCCATTACATACATATCATGGATGAAAATCAGTGCGACAGGACGCTAAAATACAACATTATGAACTCCATTATCATTACTAATTTTGTGTAAACTCTCATTCCCAAAGGTTGGTTTGAAAATGTTTTCACTATTTGCTTTGGCACTGAAATCTCCTGTTCCTGTATTCATAGATACAGCTATACACTGATCCATAGATCATTGAGACATTCAGTCTGATGCCCCCAAAACTGCATTGTTCATCAAAACACTGGATACAGCTCAAAACTGAAAGGCAATATAGTGAATTAACGAGTGATATTACTTTCAGCTTACCCACTAACATTCTGCTTGTACTCAAGGCTGAGAATGCAATATGGTAGTAGTGGACAGACCCTCTGTTGAGCAAGGTTGGGTGCGGAATGCAAGCGGCCATTGTAGAAGAACCTGTTGGGCCACAGGCAGATCTCTGGATGCATACGGTATTGTACATCAAGGAATTGCACTGGTTTCTGCATGCTGTCCTCAAAACATGTCTCTATTCTTGCAAACAAGGATTTACCAAGGCCATTGTCTTTGGCCACCTGCAATGTTACAAATGCAAAACAATAATGAAACAAGGATGGAAAGGTGTACACCAGTGGAGTGTTCTTCTTCATTTATTTCAAATACAAATCTTGGAATGGACTCATACAAATATTGAACAGTCTCCAGCATAATTCTATACCATTCTTCTTTAAGAACATCTTCCAGTTGCTTTAGAGACATTGGAGGTGGGAATCTGCTCCTCACTCTAGTCTCCAGAACTGATCAGAGAGGTTCAGTCATGCTCAAATCTTGTGATGTTGAAGTTCACCTTCATCCTCTTCAAACCACAACTGAACAGTTCCTGCTGTGTGAATCGGGGCATTGCTGTCTTGGAAAATTGCATCTTTGTTTGGAAATTAAGTCTGGATCATGGGATGCACAATTCGGGCTAGCATATTGTGTCCTTCATCATGGTAGCGACTGAGATACTGTAATGCCAGACCCATTCTTTGCGTTTTGTGTTGTGGGGTCAGCATGTGTGGCACCCATCGTGTACAGACTTCGTGAAAACCTAACCTGTCATGCATTATGAGGTAGGCCATGCCATGTGAACATGCCTCGTTCTGACAGCAGCCAAAAGAATTTTATGCTGCTGGTTTTCAGGGGCTTGTGAAATGATGGGACAAGTGCCTCAATGTAGAGGGAGATTATGTTGAGAAATAAAAGCATTTTTCAAATCAGTACTCTTATTTAAGTTTTATATCCATTTGTAACTTAGTTATTGACTTACCTACGTATGACAGATAACAAACACATTCTTCTTTATGTATATATAAAGCAGACAAAGAAATGGTTCTAAGGGATCTTACTCACCTTGGACAGTACAGTGGCGGGCAGCTGTCTTGCATCACCAACGAGGACAAGTGTCTTCACTCCTAGCATGAGTGGTATTAATGTTTCTACTTCCTGGCTCTGGGTTGCTTCATCTACTATGCAGCATGTGAACTGAAGTCCTGACTTACCCTGCCTTTGACATGAGGACACAAAATTATACATATACACAAACAACTATCATTACTGAAAAGTGTAGAAACAAACTCTTTGTTGGAGTAGACATATCTCAAAATGCATTTCTGGTGAGACTTGGCCTCCATTTACTGCATATACGTGGCGTGTTCAAAAAGTATCGAACCTTTGGTTGGCAGAAATACATTTATTGTTTTGGAGGTACAAAACCCTAATCCCCTTCAAAGTAGTCTCCTTGGTAATGCACACACTTCTCCCAGCACTTCCGCCATTGTTGGAAACACTTCTGGAAGGCGTGTTTTGGAATGGTGATCAGCCGTCCGTCGCATTCCGCATGATGTCTTCTCTTGACTCAAATTGGGTTCCTTTCAGCAGCATTTTCAGCTTGGGAAATAGCCAAAAGTCACACAGAGCCATGTCAGGGGAGTATGGAACCTGTCAAACCACAGGGATGTTGTGTTTGGCGACGAAAGTCTGAATCAGATGTGAAGAATGGGCGGGTGCGTTATCATGATGAAGCTACCAAGTTTTTGCTGCCCACAGATCCGGTCGTTTGCACTGCAGAGCATCACGAAGGCAACGAAGGACCTCCTGGTAGTATTCCTTTGTGATGGTTTGGCCTTGTGGTGCGTACTCATGATGCGCAACCCCATGGGAGTTGAAGAAAATGGCCAACATGACCTTGACATTGCTGCTGACCTGCTGTGCTTTTTTTGGCCTCGGAGATGTCAGATGTTTCCACTGTGACGACTGCATCTTGGTTTCTGGGTTGTACCCATAAACCCACGACTCATCGCCTGTGATCATGGTGTTCAGAAAGTTGGGGTTACTGTTTGCATTGTCCAGCATGTCCTGTGCGATTTCCAGATGGCGTTGCTTCTGCTCCATTGTTAGCAGTTTCGGTATGAATTTCGTGGACACCCTCCTCATTCCCCAAATCCTCAGTCAAAATTGAATGTACTGATCCAGTGCTTACCCCTATCTCGTTTGCAAGTTCTCGGACTGTGATACGACGGTCCTCCATGACCAAAGTCCACACTTGCTCAATCACATTCTCATTTCGGCTTGTTGAGGGTCTGCCTGAACATGGTTCGCTGTCCACTGATGTGTGGCCATCTTTGAAGTGGTTGTACCACTCCTTTATCTGTGAGTTGCTCATGGCATCATCCCCGAAAGCCTGTTGAATCTTGCGAATGGTTTCCACTCGGGTATCGCCAAGCTTTTGGCAAAATTTGATGCAATATCGCTGCTCATGTTGTTCCGTCATTTTACACCTTACTGGAATCCGACGAGCGCTCGCTACACGTTCTCACTCATAGGCCGATTGCCAGCGACTGATGCTTTCTGCGGGTGGGAAAAAATTCACGACTGCGCATGAATGTCCCCTCCACATCTCCACCGAAGGGAGACTCCCGCGCTTCATTGGTTTTTCGTGGGAAAAAAGAAGGTTCGATACTTTTTGAACACAGCACGTACACAAATGTATTGCGGCAAAGCTAATCTGAGGTTCTCAGGGCAGTGATTATGAAGAGTAGATGTGATGTCCTGTAGTTGCGCACAAGTGCACAGACATTTCAGAGGAGTGTTTGTAGCTGTAAAACACTGACATTGGACTCAAAAAGTATTTCATTTGAATCTGCATCCAAACTAAGGTCTATTTTGGTTTTCTCATCACCCAGACAATTGCTGGAATCATATTATAAATTAGGCCACAATCACCCAGTTCTGAAATTCTTGTCCTCTTGTTTATGACTAGGAGCTGGGATATTGTAGTTGATATAGCAACTGGCTATGGGCTGGACAACCAATGGGATGGAGTTCGAGTCCTGGTAGGGTCAAGAATTTTGTTTTCTCCACGTTGTCCAGACCGACTGTGATGCCCACCCAGCTGACCACTCACCTCCAACTAGTGCTAAAGTCAAGAAACCGTCAACCTATACATCCACTCCCTGGTACTCCTTCACGGCATACTGCTTAATTAGTTAAGCACAGGGGCAACTTTATCTTAACTTTACTTTGTTCATGACCAATTTTGATTTAATTTCACATTATATAACTTTGTACTGAAAGTATCACATTGGTCTCAGACATTAAGGGAGGAACACAGACTGAGAGTACTTGAGAATAGGGCACTGACGAGAATATTTAGACTGAAGAGAGATGAAGTGACAGGAGGCTGGAGAAAGCTGCATAATGAGGAGCTTCATAAGTTGCACTATTTACTACATGTCATTAGAATGACCAAGGGCATGGGCAGGGCATGTAGAATGTATGGGAGTGAATTGGAATGTATACTCTTGTATACAGAGTTCTGGTGGGAAGGCCAGAAAGAAGGAAGACCAATATGTAGGCAGGAGGATAATATTAAAATGGATCTCACAGGAATAGTCTGGGTTCGTATAAATGGATTGACCTGGCTCAGGATAGGGACCAATGGCAGGCTCTTGTGAACATGGCAATGAACCTTCTGGTTCCATAAAACGTTGGGAAATTCTTGAGTAACTGAGAAACCAGTGGCTTCCCTAGAAGGACCAAACTCCATGGAGTTAGTGACAATGTCATTAAATGATTTAAGCTTGCAATATAATCAAATTGTCATCAAACAGCCAATCTAACTCAAAATGAACTGTCATGCAAAACTGGCTAATCTAACTAAAAGTTAACTGTCAGAAAAAGTATAATCTGATTTAAAATAAGCCAAAAAACAAAGAGGGTAATTTGACCAAAACTGTCAGCAGAAAGGCTAGCCTGATCTGAAGTCAACTGTCAGCAAACATCGAAATGTGACTCCAAACAAATTAAATTCTTTAACACAAGTGATGAATATCTGCTCCAGGAATGGATCCAAAGCAAAATAATACAAACATACCTTACTTTTTTAATACTTTTTATATAAAATATGAAATCTTACTCTTCCTGCTTAGCAAAAATGTTTTCCATTTGGCTATTGAAACAGGACGACAGTGTTGTAGCCACAATGTGGGCACCGTGAAGTATTCGTGACTGTGCTTCTCTTTCCTTACACCACTGTTGATAAGGATCCAAATATACATTCTGAAATGATATTCACATAGGTCACATTAAAGAAGAGTACCTGCATGAAACCAATGGCATTATATATCTCTATGGTCTATTATTTGTTGCTGCAGTTTATTCAATGATGCTGTAACTCAAACTATATAGCGTTCAGTGACTGGAAGATAGTCAATAATGACTTGTAAAGTGTGTGGATGGGAATGAGTCCTGACCTAATTTGCTTGGAAGGCTTGAGAAAAACCATGGAACTCTCAGTCAAAATACTTTGTGTCCTGGCTGAGATTCAAACTGAGCACTTTCCAAATGCAAGTCAGAATTGTCAGTGTGTAATTCAGTTTGCCGATCACTGATGTGGATGTCAATTTGCGGGGGGGATTAAATAAATTTGTGAACTAAATGGTAATGATGTAGTTCTCAGTTCTGTTCTGGTATTCACCTGAAACTGGGACAATCAACAACCAACTGTCAGGACAGCTTCCAGGACTTTCAAATATATTGGGCATGCAATAATTCATGAACACTGAAGACACTATCCTGAAACATTTAAGCAGATTCAGATGCTGTTATGGCCTACATACTAGATATCAAATTATGTCACAGAATAGCTGAGGGACAATTACTTATTCACTGAAACTACTGGCTCTTTCCTCTGGATACATTATCTCTCTTAACTGCACCACTGTTCTTTGCACGGTGTGCTCATATACACAATGTCTTCAAATTTATTGTAGTTTCTTAAGCTTAGCACCAGCTGTAAAATCACGTTAATTCAATATTATTTAATCTAAAATACTGTCTGATGTGAAAATACAGTTCTGTATGCTTTCTACACAAAATTCATATGTTTAAGCGATCTGTGCTGGCCAACGTCTGAGCTTGAAATGATGTCACAACTTGGCACGTGCACAGTCATACCCCCGGGTCCCTCTTTATGTAGGTAATATGATGGCAACATACTTGCACAACATCTGGAATTCATATCTTCATGCACAGCACAAGGCAAGTTTGAGTAAACTCTACATATATATATAAGTTCACTGTACTCACAGGCCATACTGTATTAAATTTTGTTGTGACCTGCTATGGTCTCTTTCAGAGCAGTTCCCTCCTGCATCTATATACAAATTCCAGCATTGTTGTATAAATTCCAGAAGCCATTCTCCTGCAAGCTGTTTAGATCAGCCATTATAATCTTCCATATCTCTTCAATGTTCCAAAATGTTATCCCCTGGGATAATTCTTCATGGAAGGGATAATGAAGAAGTCACAAGGAGTGAATTCATTCATTCATTCATTCATTCATTCATTCATTCATTCATCAGTAATCTGTCAGACGACAAGTCCACAGTCTCTTCCAAAACAGTTCCTCCACTTAATGCGATCTAGAGCTTTCTCCTTCAAATGAGAATATTCTCTTCTGTCCCCAAGGTCATCCAGCATCTTCTTACATCTTCTGGTCACTTCTATCCACCCTTCTATCTCTCCTTCAATAAGTTCTTTTAGTAGGCAGTTACTGCGTAAGATATGACCAATTCAATTAGCCTTCTGTTTTCTTATTTCGTGCAGGATATTCCTCTGCTCACTGACTCTAAATAACACTTCTTCATTTCTCACATAATCGGTCCAACTGATCTTCTCCACCCTTCTCCAACACCACATTTCGAAACTTTCCAGGTGTTTCTGATCTACAAGGAGTGAATAACAGTGAGAAATTGTAATTATGTGAGACCATGATTGATTTTTTTGTCAAAAACTTTCTATTGTAAAGTGCTGTGGGGGAGGGCACACTGTCAGGGAAAAATCCTGGCCTCACACAATGAAATCACTCTCTCAGACATTCCAGAACTTGAGATAAAATTTCTGGTTGACAATACAAGTAGGTGGGAAATACTCTTAGTGCACTATCCTTTTCATTCAAAGAAACAAATCGACTGTCATAACTTTTGCTTCTGACGTCTGCATTTTCTGGAGAGAGGTGAGCCTGGATATTTCCACTGCATGCTCTGCTGATTTGTGTCAGGATCATAATGCATAACCCAACTGCCAACCCCACTGACAGCTCTCTTCAGCCATTCTTCATTCTCCTGAATTCATTGCAAAAATCATCATAAGCTTCCCTCTGCTGCAGTTGTCATTGGTGAGGTTCATGAGCACAATCTTCATACAAACTTTCGTCATACCCAAATTTTCTGTCACGATCAATCATACAGTGTCTCTACTGACATTCAGTTACTTTTCCAGTCATTCTGACAGTATGTCAATCATTTTGCACCAGAGTTCTCATATTTTTTAAACCCAATTTTGACAACACAGAAGTCTGCATTGCCTGTAAAACTCAAGTTCCATGCCTTCCTTCAGAAAACTGTTTACAACATTCAAAAAGCACATGGTCTCGACAGAGGTTCTGCTCCATGCATTTGCTTAAACATTTCAGATATTTTCGTTGGTTCTCTCCAAGATCAAACAATTTCATGCTGATCCTTTGTTCAAAATATTTGTCATTCATTTTCATGACAAGATATCCAAACGCTACTTCAGTTAAGGCACAAGAACTCTGTACTTGCTAAGCTAGACAAGGTATGTCTGCTACTGTGTGGAGTTCAAACATGTACCAACACCTGCCAATGACCCCAGGGTGACTTGTGCTTCAGAGTGTTGCTAGTCTTGTTATTTTCCAGACCTCATATTTGCAATTTAATTATTTTAAATTTAAATATCTGAAGTAAAAAACTATGTTAACATAATTTACTTGGAAACAGCCTTTCTATTGCACCACAACAATGTTGTTTGTAACACTAAATGTTATAATACAACAATGACTGAAACCCAAACCATAATCTTAAAGACATGGTGTGTACGTGTATTAACACCATACTTCAATCCCCCAGGTTATTTCACGGGGTCACACACCACTTCCAATAAATGAGGACAGGAGAGGCATATTCAGGACAATTTCTTTTGGCTTATTAAGTGTGACAGCTGTAAGCCTTCAGAAAATAAGAACCTAACTGATTATTATTCTTTAAGGTATTCTCCTGTTTCAAACTCATTTAGGTTTTAACAATTTTAACCATTTAAACTGACATTTATAAGAGAAACATGATTCATTCTAATTCCACAAATTCTTAAAACTGTACTTTTAAGCAGAAGAACTACAAAATTACTCAGTCATTTCAATTGTTCATCATTGGAGTAACATTAGTCAGTAATTTCAAATTTTATGTAAACTGCATAACAAACTGTATGTATTCACGTAACATGTGCCCTCATGTATGATGTACACCCTGATTTGGGGGGAGGGGGGAAATTCAAGGTCAAAAAATGTCAAAAGAAATGTACAGTAAATATTCATTGGATAATTAGCATTATCATGAAAGTATCAATAGTTAACAAATACAAACACAATACACCATGTTAATATTGTGCATGATATATAAAATGGATTCAAAATGCCTGATATTAGTAAGTGAAGCTGTCATCACTTGACGGTAGCCTTGAGAAAGTGAGTACAGTGATGAAAAAACCATGAAGTAACAGAATTCAATGCCTCACACATTTACTTTCAATTTCTGAATTGTGGTAAATGATCACAATGTCCTCCCCATTTTGTCACCTGTAGCACACCTTTTAACTTGCTTAACAAAACATATCTGCTCCTTACAATTGTGCACACACTACTGAGGCCAACTAAGATGTCATGGCAACAGTGGCATGACTATACACATTAACTGTGTGTATGGATATGTGCTGACTGTATGCATATTACTTAAATGTTTAGCTACCTATTGCAAAATGCCAATTCCTTTGCAGAATGTGCACCCAGTCCTTTGGGCACTAATCTCAGGAAAAATAAATGCATGATATAGACAGTGTCACGTAACTTGGAACAAGGGCCCGCATTCCTAGTCAAATCCCATGCACAGCTTGTAGTGGGAGGAGTTTCTTAACACTCGTTCTTGCACTTCCACCTCCCTCGAATCCACCCTCGTCTGAAATTTTTCTTCTGCGCATTCAAGGTTACTCTTGGCCTTGTTCGAAGTTACGTGACTCTTGCTATATATGAGTATGGTGTATACAGTACATCAGTAACATTCTATAACTGGGCAGTGCCATAGCTCAGGGGGTCAGTCACTGGCTTCCCAATGTTATGGCATGCATCACATTGTGTGAGATTTGTGGTGGACATAATGGCATTGGGACAGGTTTTCTCTGAGAAGTTTGGTTTCCTCTGCAAATTCTCACGCCACCAACTAGTCCATATTCAAATGAGTATATTTATATCTGTTGACACAACAATTTGTGTAAAAATAGCATAGGTTGTCATCTTGTAGTTGGTCATTCAGTCTCTATCAGACTAAATGCCTGACTACAAGACAACACGAGAACTGCACCACGTATCGTAAGAAAACAAGACCACGACACATAATCTTACAACATTCAACTTACACCCCGATATGGCATAGATAAGGAGTAACGCATATGCACATGCAAGAAATCGGTAACATCATACCCACTAAGGAAGAATCAAGACCAAGAACCAGCAGAACAGCCATATAGACATTTACATAATTTTTAATGTTAATTTTAATTTTTAACTTTAGTTTAATTAATTCACATTAATTTTAACTAACTGTAATTAATGTCGTCTTCTCGGATGTGGTGCCATGTAGATCTTGTTGGAACTGATGTTTCAGAGGAACGTATTGCTTGCATCTACAGGGTAGAAAAATCTACGAGCAAGGAACCAACATGAGCAGATCTAGACAGCACCACTTCTCAGAAGATGGCATTCTTCACAGTCACTGCCATGAAAACCTCAAATCTTACATAACTGTAATTAACACCAGCAGAGCTTAAGCTGAAGGGTAAATAACCAGAGGTTTTGTTACTATGCAAATATAAACATATCACATGATCAAATTTGAAAAAATATGGATCTATATTAAACAAAAACCTCAGCACCTAAGCACTTGATGACCCAATAAGGGTTGAAACATGTTGTGTTAACATTCTAATGTAAGCATTTTATGTTAATATTTTTACATGAATTGTTGTGTAGACAGATATACGTACGAGGATGCAACACATAAATATAGTCCATATTCATTAATCATCCTCTGCCAAAAGCTCATGTACAGCTTATTACAAATAAATACATTCATATCCAATACATAAAAACAGCGAAATGTTTAAATTCGTCAGCCTCATCTGTATAATATAAATCAACGAATGGCTTTCATCTGTTACCTGTGCTTTACTCTTCCTCATTTGGGCCAGTCTCAGCTCGGTGTCAATCAATCTGAACTCAGTTTCAGCAATAGCATCTCTCAAATTCTTTTGTCTCGCTGTTTCAAGAGCCATCAGCAACGAATTCTGTCGAGCCTCCAGGCTGCGGATCTGGAACAAGACATGCAGCCAGTAAAATACAGGGAAGCACAAAAATCACTGCCCATGGGGTTAAAAATGAAGTAATCATGCTGCAATATTTTAGTCTAGTATCACTTATGTCTAAGTGTCAATTAATGCCGTATTAATGTTCAAATTGTCTACCTTCTGGTCTACGACATTTCATTTAACATGAGCTAGCAAAAGTGAAGCAAAGAGATAGGTTCATTTCCTAAAAACTCATGTGTTCATTTGGGAATGTAACACTTAAATCTGGCTTCATGCAATATCTGCTGAACCACCCACTTAAAACTTTTGCTCAAGAGCAAGCCTGTCACTAGATTTCCAAGGACTCTGGGTTACTGCTTGGTAAATTAACATTCTGTTCTCCTCCAGACTTGCTGTTCTGTGATCTACACATTCTTAGGAGAGCCAAACACTGCACCATGTTATTGATATCACTGACACAGACTGTGTGCTGGAGCAACTGAATCAAAATGAGCACACTATTGTGCGACAATCGCTGGAAAACCACTTTACCACATTTTTAAAGCAAAAATTCATTCTTGTTAGTCACCATAACATGTGAAACACACTTATGTGGTCTGACAATAAAGTTTCTGAATTCATCGCGGTAGAAGTGCTACATACCACATTGTTGATTACCACTGTGGTCGCTATGCACCGATGCCAGCGCCTAGTCCACCCTTCAAACAATTTTGGAACTGGTTTCATCTAATGGCCTTCAGAGCTGCAGTCATATTACTCCTCATGTCATCAATGTCATCGAAATGCCTTCCTTTCAATATTTCATTGGTCTTCAGAAACAGAAGAAAGTCACTGGGGGCTTGATTTGGCGAACAGGGTGGATGTTCCAGCACAGTTAGCTAAAAACTCCTTCACAGACAGTGCCATGTGAGCAGGTGCATTGTCATGATGCAAGATCCAAGAGTTGTTGGCAAAAAGTTCAGGTCATTTCTGTTTAACTTTTTCACACAGCCTTTTCAGTATTTCCATATATAGTAAACTTGGTTGACTGTCCGGTTGGTACAAACTCATAATGAATAATCCCTCTAATATAAAAAAAGTCAGCAACATTATTTTGACTCCCGATTTGGACTGACGAAACTTCTTTGGTCTCGGAGAATTGGCAGCATTTTGTTGCTTCATTTCAAGGTCATATTGGTAGACCCATGTTTCATCACCTGTGATGACACAGCCCAAAATGTCACCTTGCCTCTCCAAAAGGTCTTGGCAAATTTTGGCTCCTCTTTGCTTTTGTTCTTTGGTGAGCTCCTCTGGGACCATTTTTGCGCACACCTTCCTCATGTCAAGATCTTCAGTTAAGATTTTCCTAACTCTTTCTCTGTTTAGGGCAAACTCTTTGAGCTGATTGTCTAGATAATGTGGGACCCTCAATGTCTCTCAACCCTATGGGCCTTCACAGCCTGTTACAGTGATAGCTTTACTTACTTTTACTTACATTTCATGGATGCTTCATTCTGTAGGTATGTAACTATATTCCCACAAGAAATGTGAGACATATACATAGCAATTACAGGGTCGGTAACAAATACATCTTAGTTATAACTGCATATGTTCCAATATAGCACAGTTCATAGTAAAATATGAATACCATTGTGATGATTCTAGGAATTATGTCTAGATTTACATTAGTATGCTAATGTATCAACAATTCAGTGTTGAGGATTTCCATCAGGTGATATCCTTACACTTTCACTAACACTAAATCAACAACAGAGTATGAACAAAAAGGAAAAAAAAAAAGTTTCCATCAAAATTAAAGTGATTAACCTTTAATGTCTGAAGTGCCCCGATTGGGCCAGTGATGAGTATGGTCGTCATGGCCAAAGTACCCCGATTTGGTAAATCGGGCATTTAAACTCTGCTAGTGGAAGGGCGCACATGTGCAACTAGTAGAAGCGCATGCACAGTTCTAAATATTTATTTTTAAATGTAGTAATTACCAGACTGACTTGACTAAAACCCTAACAGAAGAATTAAAATGATACCTAAGTGAACAAGGTCGAGGATGGAATATGGAGCATTTTTATTCCATAAACTTAAGTAGAAACAAGCACAGGAGCTAGATAATATACAATATAGGGCAATTCGCAGAGCACTGGGCTACGTGAGTAGCACCCCGACCAATGTAATGCTAGCAGAAGCCAAAGAAATCCCAATTTTTAGTAGATTCAAACAGTTGGGAAGGAACTATGTGTCCAGGTGTTATACGTCAAGCAACCATCCAATGATCCAGCTGCTGGAAGAATTATCAGCTCTACTTGACAATCCAAGAAGAGGAGAGAATGAACAACCACTCATCAGCAAATAACCAATCAGGGAACTGTCCCCCGGCTTTCAACTACACATACGGAAGCCTCTTCTACGGGGCCAGGGCATCTTTCGATGAGGGAAGACAAATAAAGGAAGCCGAAGATCACGAGGAATTCAAAAAGATTTTCCAAGAATGAATGAGAACCAGCAAATTTTTCGCCATGGATGGCTCAAAAATGGAGGAAAAACCATTCGTAGGATTCGCGTCAGTAGATATAAAAGATAGTCGTAGCATGAAATTCAGGATATCTTAGATAGCGTCCATATTCATGGCGGAAGCATTAGCAATTGCCGAAACACTAGATATCATTGAAAAAATAGACTCAGAGCAAAACTTGATGATTTTCTCGGACTCGGCAAGCATGTTAAAAGGAATTAGTAACTCCTCTATAACAAGCAACACATCACACATTACATATATGCTAAAAGATAAAAAATAGAGAGACTGGAATCATGAGGAAAAGAAATCCAATTTTTCTGGATCCCGGGGCATGGTGAAGTTGAAGTTAATGAGAGGGCCGACTTGCAAAGCAAGCAATCAAAAAAGGCAGAGATAGTAAATTACTGTTACCAGTTGCAGATCTTAAAACACAGTAGAAAAAGAAAGGCAAAGAAGAACTTCACGGTTTTTGTCAAAACACCAAATGGGAAAGAGGAGAAAGCTACTTTGAAAGGTACTATAGGAAAGGCTCGTCTCCATGGTTCTGACAGATAAAAATGAACCACCGCACCTTCACGTCAATAAACAACATGAGAGCGGGAGACACCAGTCTTAAAGTAAGGATCCATGGCCAAATGCGAATGTGGTGATGGGCTGCAAATGGAGGAACATATCCTCTGGGGCTGTAAACAGTACGAGGACCAAGGGGCAACAATGATGGACATTTTGTCTGAGAACAGCAAAAAGCATTACCCAAAATCAGTTACAGAGCTCTTAAGGCTAGAAGAAAAAAGATTCCTGCAAGGCATCTGTTACTTCATAAACAACATTCCTATATTTATATAAAATAGATATGTAACAAAAGTAAAAGAAGTAATTGCACTGATTATTTATAGTATACACAGAGATTTAAGTCAAAATCTATATTAACAATTTCGGGGCTACTGCTATTGTAGAATAATATGTTTATTAGAATGTACCACAGAAGGCCGGATGGGCATTGCCTAGGCCTCTTTCGTATTTACATTTTTTTCTACAATGAAAAAAAATAATTACTCATCTGTAAGACAATGACTGTTACTATGCAACTATATTTTGGATAACACAAAGCCGTTCACTGTTCCAGCATCTTGTAAAACCGACTAAGTGTGAAAGAAGAGAGGGCTAACACAGAAATGAAAGCAAAATAAGTCTCTCACAGATTACTTCTCTCAAAGTAACTGTAATTATTAAAGACTTTTTAAACAGAGCTGTTCAACAGGGACTTACAGTTTTTCTTCATAGCAGACATTTTACTAGTTACCAGTTACGATTTATTGCTGTCCAACTGCATATTTAGTAAGAGATGAAGTTGGATAAGGAAAATTAAAAATTTCTTTCTACTGGAAACTTGACTGTGGAAATGCATTACGCTCTGAACTTGAGAATATGACTGCACACTAGAGTTCACTTGCCCACAGATGGATCCTGGATGTACTGAATGGTGAGCACAATGACATAGTTGAAGAAAAAGTTTCTCATGTTAGAATTGTCAAGGTAGTGAGTGAGAATCAGGGTATAATGAGGTACTTAATAGTTGTTGCATCTGACCAGTCTTTACACAAATTCTTTACTGCCCACTGTGAAATAGTACATAACACGACGTTTTCAGCATATGTCTTTATTAATGCTTTTATTTAATGCTTACTTCAGACATACATGATTGGAGCTTGTATTTAAAAAAAAAATAGTATACCTTATGGAAAACAGATACTTACACCCCATAAAGGCAATAAAGTGTAAACAACTCTCAACATGTAAGATTTGAGGCTTTCACAGCGGTGACTATGAAGAAAGCAGTCTTCTGGGATTTGGCACCGTGTATATGTGGTGTTAACCGACGTTTCGGAGGAACGTANAGGGTGGAAAGAAAAACATATAAGAAATCTGCAAGCGAAGAGACCGTGAGAACCGGTAAAAGCAGACTGCTCTCACGGTCTCTTCGCTTGCGGATTTCTTATATTTTTTTCCTTCTACCCTGAAGATGGAGGCGATACGTTCCTCCGAAACATCGGTTAACACCACATACACACGGTGCCAAATCCCAGAAGACTGCTTTCTTCAACTCTCAACATACCTCTAACTCTAAACTCTCCAGGCATTCAGGCGGTTGTGTTGTACTCTTAGCGTAACTCTTGGCCAATTCAAAGACTGAGATCTCCTTCACTGAAGGTTTCATCGTCTCCTGCCGACCAGTGCGCACCATCCTGAATCGTTCCTCTTCTGTACATTTGCAATAATTAAAACCGTATCATGGATTAGAACAACAGTTATGAAAGAAAGAATAATATTTAATGCATATACAATTTTCAAGAGTGAGTCTGGTAGAGTAAAATAAATGAATAAATAATTACATGCCTTAGTCCTGACAAGATGGATGAAGTACCTAACAAGACAACTAAGTTTGAGGTTCTCTCACTGGTGACCGCAAAGAGTACACTCTTCTGGGCCATAACACTGTACAGTTTGGTAGACCATCAACATTTTGAAGGAACAAACTGCCTCCATCTCCCGAACAAAGGAATAAGCCAAGCACAGAAAATACAGGTATGGACAGATGCCTGGACAACCCGCCTGAGCAATCAAAGAGGAATAAGGAGAACAGTGAAAACATCTTGACATCTGGCATTCTCCTTACCCCAAATGGTTCGCACAGGACCCGTACCTTGGCCATTCCTCTCCTTATACCTGCACCACTTTGTTCTGTGCTCTGCTTAGTGCCCCACCTGGAACCAGAAGGCAGCCATCTTTCCAGAACATCGGCTAACTGCTGTAAGAATATATACACTAATCTTCACTAATACAACTGACTGAGTTCAAAATTCACAAATAGTCATAAATATGAAATTAAATGGTACAAGAAAGTTATAAGTGGAAACCAAACATGGCAAAGTCGATCCATTAATAATTCATGTTTTAATGTAATGACCCAATTTTGAACAACTATTATAAGAGACATTGTAAAATTTTATCAAGCTGTTCAACCTTGAGAGAGTGAAGCCACAACCTCCACCCTCCCTCCTGTTCAGGTTAGAACCTGTTCAGTCCTGTCTGGGAGTTGCTAGAGTGACGAGCGAACAGAAGGTGCCGTGGAGTGTGGAACAACGCATTGTGATAAAATTCCTCGTTGGAGAAAACGGCCCATCTGCTGAAATTCACCACAGACTCCAACAACAGCATGGGGAAGAGTGTCTCTCACGGACCCGTGTGTTTGAGTGGTGTAAGTGCTTCAGAGAGGGCACAGAGCACGTGGAAAATGAACCGCATGATCGTCGGCCGCGAATATCCGTCACCGAGCCAAACACTGATCGTGCAGACGTGCTTATTCGTGAGAATAGGCGAATCACTATCAAGGAACTTGGAGCAATGCTGTCCATCAGTGTTGGTAGTGTAGAAGACATCCAGAAATACCACCTGCACTATCACAAGGTGAATGCACGGTGGGTACCACGCACTTTGACGGACGTGAAGAAAATGGTGCGCATGCAAGCTGCCAGTCATGACCTACAGCAGTTTGAAGATTAAGGTGATGCATTTTTGAAGTCTATAGTGACCACCGATGAAACGTGGGTGCACTACTTCATTCCCGAGTCCCAGCAGTCATTATGTGAGTTGTGGCATACTAGTTCTCCCAAACCCAAGAGAGCGCAGAGGAGCCGTTCGGCAGGAAAAGTGATGGCAACGTTCTTTTTGGACTGGCAGGGGGTTACCCATGTAGACTTTCTGACAGATGCCAGAACAGTCAATACAGCTTATTACTCAGACCTCCTGGCTGTAGATGTGAAGGAAAAGTTTCGATCCAAGCGGAAGACGGGTGGAAAGTGGGTAGCCTTCCTTCAAGACAATGCACGCTCCCATACAGCCAAAACAACAATGGAAACCCTCCGGAATTTGAAATGGAACCTTCTGACACATCTGCCGTACAGTCCTGATTAGGCCCCAAGTGATTTCTACCTGTTTGGAAGGCTCAAATCAGACTTGCAAGGCATGTGGTTTTCACACTTTTAATACAAGATCTAATTGTGATTTGCATTTTCCAGTGGTAAATCTGACTGTATGCCAGAAAGGAGTACTGTGCTCTAGTATTAAACTTTACAATCACCTCCCATCAACTCTTAAACAAATATCGTATGATATTCCTAAATTTAAAGTGGCATTAAAGAATTTCCTGACCACCAACTCTTTCTACACTGTGGAGAAATACTATTGTTATAAATAAGAATTTTGAAATTAAGACTATATCTAAAGTTTCTGGCCGATTAGGTCGATCATATAGTTCTGAAATATAATTTTCCCAAATTTTCAGCACTTGCCTCTGATCTACTATTCTATTCCCCTGGGAGTCTTCGATGCCAACATTTTGAATCCCATGATTCTCTTTCCATCCTAGTTCTTTTGTCTTCATGTACATCAAATCATAACGGCCTGTTCTTTGAAATTCCATAATCTCATTACATATCTTCTCAAGATATTCCTTTTTGGCCCTGTCCGTGGCTCTTTTCAATTCATTCCTCAGTCTCCTGTATTTCCTCCTGCCTTCTTCATTGTTGACATTCTTCCATTTTCTTCGCTCCTCCATTTTACTCATCATCTCCTGTGTAACCCATGGTTTTCTTGCTATCTTCCCAACTTTACTTTACCTACCGACATTAGTTTTCTTTTGTGGGTTATATAACAATGACATTAGCTTCTAGACTACACAGTGTCAGATGCTAGGATGACTGATGAATTGGAAAGGAGGCAGAAGGAAAGAGGTATGGCCTAAGTGAGGGACTATCTCAGCACATGCTTGTAGGAACTGAGGAAAACTATGAAAAACCTAAGTAGGGATAGTCAACCGAGCAATATCTGAATACAAGTTTAGAGGAAAACCTCTAGAAAAACCTGTTTGGCTTAATGTTGGTATAAAGTATAGTGTCCATGCAACAAGAATTACTGGTCCCTTCTTTTTTGGAGAGAAATACATTCTGAAAGATATTACACTTAATTTTTTCTAAGTCCAACAGTGAGAGGTGGAGTATATATTGTGACATGTCGACCCCTACCTCCCCAGCGGTACGTGGCGGTAACGTAACGCTCGCGTTACTACGGTAATAGGCGAGTTCCCGCCCCGCCACTCCCC